CTAGACCCCCCCCCCCCCCCCCCCCCTTTTAACCCCTTGACCCCCAAGCTACCTACTCCTGAGCTACTTATTCTTGAGCTATTCCCCAACCATCTACCATACGCTACACTATGAGCTTAGCTCCAAGTACTAGCTAAGCAATCCTCACGCTCCGCGGTATAGGTCTTTCTCGTGACATGTGAATTTCGTTTCAATCGCCGGTTAGTCTAGTCTATTTGAGTAACTTAAGCGACTGTGGTTCATTGGTGTGGGGCAACTGTGGGGCCACATACTGCGTAAATCGAGGAGACTCACAAACGGGATGGCAACTCCCCCAAGATTGGCATCAGATTCACGTTCCGTAGTGTCGGTATGTATCTAGAGAAAGTCACGATCAAACCGTTGTCTCTGAAAGTCATCACAGTTTAGACTTTAGAGTTGGGCGGTGAATGGGATAATGTACCGTGGGACTGGAGCTCAAGGCCACAAAAACAGCAGGAGTGGACGCGCAAGTTGAATGGTGCATCTTTGGCGTTGAAAAGATCATCGAAATAAAATAAAAGTTCGATAGTATGTTCAGTTGGTGTTGGCGTTGCCTTCCATCGTTGGTGTTGCTTGTTCTTTCTTTCTTTTCCGTTTCGAAACTCTTTCCGCTGTTTGACCGTCACCTATACTAGCCAATACTTTACCTACCGACCAACTTAATATTGTATCCATTGTTGGGGGATTTTCGTACTGGATACGGATGATGCTTTCATCACCACCAACACGAGGCAACGCCAACATGAGCGCTCCCTACCTCTAGCAAATATCATTGTCGTTTTTCATCTTTTACGAAGGCGACTACCAACACTGCGTCAACACGTTCAATGGTTAAGTTCATTGTCATGAGCTTCCTTGTGTATTGAGTCTTTCTATTTAAAACCCCCTCTCTCTCTCGTTCCAAGTCTCCAGCACCCAGCCCCGACCTCCATCACCCACCACCACCGCCCAAGAAGAAGCGAAGAACCGATGCAGTATTTCCACCAAGGGCAACAACAACTGACACTTATTAAAAAGGATATCCTAATAGTACAATAACCCATACCATAGTCCAGCAACTGGCAACAACAGCTTCTTCCTGGGAGGCTTCAGCCTTTGCCCTAGATATATAATGATGATGATGATGATGATGATGACGACGACGGCGACAATGACGACGATGATGGCGACGACGATGACGACGGTAAGTTCAGTTTCAACTCCTTTCTCCTTCTTTTTCCCTTCCTCTCTTTCATGCTAAATCCTATCCTCCGACCGACCAACCAGCCAACCAACCAACCAACCAAAAAAAGGCTCATAACGCATCGCGACCTGAACCCCCGAACGACCAGACCAACCGAAATCGACCAAAAGAATGAAAAAAAAAAAAAAGACATGATAAACTCCGGCAAGATTTTTGAAGATGTTCCAATTGTGTTTGTACCCCCCCTTTTTTCGTCCGTCCGTCCGTCCGGTGATGTCTAAGGCCACCACTTCATGCGCTTGTAGCTCTCGATAACCTCCTGCAACAGCTCCTTGTTGATCTGGGGTTTCTCATACTTGAACCCGAGTAGCTCCTCCAGCCGTGAACCATCCATGCTGAGGTCGGTATCCTTGAGCAGCTCCGCCTCCATAAAGGGGGTCAGGGGCCCCGGCTTCGTTATCCCCGCGTCCTCGAGCAGACCCGCCCAAGGGCCCAGCAGCTCGTCGTTGACGTCCTCCACCACGTCGTGCAGGTGGATCTTGGCAAAGTTGGAGATGATGGTGCCCTGGAAGCCCGTCTTGATGCCGAACACGTCGCCGATCAGGTCCGCCATGATGCCCTGCGTCGTGCGGCCCTTGTCGACCACGTTGAAGGTCGGGGTGGGGCCCATCTTGGCCGCGTCCCACTTGGCCTTGCCGGCCGCGTACCATTCGGCCACCTGCCAGAGAGCGCGCGTCACGTCGTGGATGTGCACCGTGTTGGTGCAGAGGTTCTTGGTCCAGAGCCACTTCATCTCGGACCCGAGGGCTTGGTAGACGCGCGCCATGCAGAGGGCGGTCGCGACCCATTGCGACGCGTACGGGCCGTACACGTGGGAGAGACGAACGATAGCGAGGTTGAGTCTGGATGAAAAGAGAAAAGGATGTTGTCAGCGAATAATGCGCATACACGACGAAGTAGTGGGTAGGTGGGTCAACAGGTGAGTCAATAAGTCCGAAAAAAACGTACCCTGGAATCTTGGCCAACTCCTCCTCGGCCTGCAGCTTGAAGACGGCAATCTTGCTCCATGGCTTCAGCTTGTCCTGCTCCTTGCTAGGCGCCGAGTCCGGCTTATAGACCATTCCCGTGCTCAGCTCGATGAAGCACTTGACACCCCGCTTGGCGGCTTCTCTTCCCACGGCTAACGACAGCTCGAGCGAGCGCAGCTTGTACACCTCCTCTTCCTGTGAGTAGCGCGTCTCACCGCCGCAGTTGAAGACGTAGTCCCATTGCTTTCCGTTAGATCGGTCAAATATCCTTTGAAGAGACTCTGTATATGCGCGCGCGTGTGTTAGTCACTTTCGCGCTCAAAGTGTCATACGCAAACGTGGAAGCAAGGGGGGATGGTGAAATCCCTAAGGAGGGGTCGGAGACGTACGCTCTCTGCTCGCATCCGCCTGCATAAACTTGGGTCCCGCGCACGCTTCCTCAAACTCGGGCGCCAGCCAGGCAAGCTGGGGCAGGACCTTGTCGACAATGCGCACTTCGGAAGCGAGGTTGTTCTTGTGAATGTGAAGGGCGAGGAAACGGCCAATGTAGCCGAGACCACCGATGATGAGGACCGACGGTTTTTCGGCCATCTTGTTTGTCGTGTTTACGTGGGGTGTTTGGTTCGGAGTGTGTGTTTGCTCCTCGGGTTGCGAATGCGTGTGTGTGTTGTTGTTGTTGGGGGAGATGCTTCGCTTCTACCAAGTCGCTTGGTCCCTGTTGGCTCCTGAAATGAGCGGGGGGCCACTTCAATGCGCGGGGTCGCGAAAATTGGCCTCGGTTGCCGTAGTGCCGATGTGAATGGGCTGGACCACTTCGCTCGCTGGCTACGCCGTGTGTCTTTTGTAGATTACGATTATCTTCCTCCCAAGACACGCAATGCCTATATAGACGAGGAATAAGGCGTTGTGTAGAAAGAACAGAGGAGAATCGAATTGGTGGTTTGTTCCCCTGATATTGGTTTGTCGGGAAACCCCTGCTGGGAAGGAAATGTCTTGGGAACGATTGGCGAACCGCACAAACAGAGTTTCCCAGTGACAGCCGAGAATGAGGGGGGGTGATCCTGGCGTGGAGGCGAGAGTTGGGAGAACCTGGGAGAGGAGCGAGCTGGAAGTGCTGGAGTATGTAGATACTGTAGAGTAAAATAGTGCGGCTCTCGGTTGGGCGATGGGGTCTCTTTGGTTTTCGGGTGGAGGGGAGGATGGGTCAGATATCGGCTTGTAAGATGAAAAATGAATCACCAGGTCAGATAAATAGACGAGAACTGGAGGTGGGAAAATGGAGACAGATATGGAAGTCCAAAAAAGCAAAGAGAGCTGGTCCCTGATGGTAAGGTAGGTGAGCACAAAAAAAGGTTAAGGGTAGAGGGACTCCAATTAAAATAGGGAACTGGACTGGAGCCCGTGGGACATGGACGTGGGTGGACGACGACGTGGGTGTGGACGACGTGGGTGCCGTGTGGAGGGGGGGGGAGAGGAAAAAGTGAAGTTGGGCCAAATTATCCGGCAGTCAACAACCAAAAAGGTACCTTTCCAGGTACCTCGCTCTGCAGCTCCCGTCCCGAGTCCCGCCTGCGTACGTATTTAGGGTACCTGCGCTTGCGAGCCATGAAAGTTGTGTACCTAGAGGTAGAAAACCCCTTGTCAGGTACCGAGCACGAACCAGTACAAGCGAAGCTTCGTCCGGGCCATGCTCGACTGCCAGCCCGTGATCGTCAGCGACCTGACCCGGCACGCGTTTTCCTACTTTATCCACTAGACCGTAGTAGCTCAGTTCAGCAGTAGTCGTGCCGTACCAGTGGACGGTCCAGCTAGTGTAGAGGTAGTAGTGTTCAGATAGCTCTGGTGCCGTCTGGTCCTCACTCCTCCACTCAAATGTTTCCGAGAGGCTGCAAGGGTGGTGACTATCTTGATGCCAAGAAGAACCAACGGAAAAGAACACCAACGGGTGTGGAAAATCGAGGCACGGACAGAGACAGACAGAGACGGACCTGGAAGGGATGAAAGCACAAAAGACGAAAGAATGACGGGATGAGCCATGAGAAGGTCTTGGCATCATGACATTAGGGAATTTCGATGAGAAACGATGCAGCCACAATATTGCAAAATGGCATTAAAATCTCAGCACCACGGCAGCACAGCGAATGGAGATAGCGTAAGACAAGGCCAGGGAAGCGAGCGGTACCAAGACCGACAGAGCCTCGGATAGTAGGGTTGTGCTAAGCCAGATTCTGCACACTCGGCGCCCACGTCGGACAAGAGGGTGAATCGTGCGTGACCTGATGCCGAGAAGGAGATCAACGCAATGGAATCCTCTCAGTTGCTGCTGAGACATTGATATGAGAGACACACATGAAAAGGAGGAGGAATTCAAGTCACTGAATGGTTAGCGGGCTGCAGCGAACTTGTTGCGCGCCGTCCTTCGCAGATTTATCAAACATCTCATTTAACCTACAGCTGCGATATGCAGCTACGTCTGCAACATGGTCGTATGGTGGATAGCAGTTTTCATGATAGTCTCAACATCCGTCCATCCATCCATCCATCCCTCGCCCATGTTCCCCTTTTCCTGACTCTCAAACGGGAGCAATGAGTTCTCTTCCAGTCATCATGATCTACCACTCCAAAACAAAGATGTGAAACGGGACGGGAAAAGGCTAAAATGTCAAGGACTGAGCTAGTGTAATCGTGTCTCGAGTTTTGTAGTCGGTGTCGATGCCGTCATCGGTCAACACGTTTTTTTTTTTTTTTTTTAATTTTTTGCTGGGTTGAACAGCTCAGAGACTGTGGAGTGCGGTGCGGATGCGGATGGATATTCAGGGGTTCGATCAACGGCGGCGCCAGAGTTACAGTGACCTTTCTTTTCTTTTCTTTTTTTTTTCTTCCTTCGTTTTCCCCCCTACACCATGTACTTCCCAGCAACCTTCCATTCCTTCTCCTCCTCCTCCTCCTCCTCCAGCAGCCGAGCCGCGAAGTCGCTCCCCTCCCGCCAGCCCGCTCCCGGTGCCAATTGTTCGGTGCTGCCGTTGCTTTCAGGGGTAAGCAAAAAAACCATCACAAATTCGCCACCATGATCCTTTCACACACACCCACTCACTCGCTGTCACCCTTCCATTCCAAACGTTCCTCGCGTTCCCCATCCCCTCGGCACACCCAATCACCGCCCACCACGCAGACTTCCAGAAGACTTCTTCAAAACCTTCCAGAAAATTGAATGGCTCCCGGCCAGTCCGGAGTGGAAACCCGTCAATTCCGCTCTGCGTGTGCATGCATCTTCCCTTTCCATGTGCGCTGTCAGATGGTCAGGTTAACAGTCGGGGGTTCGGGGGTCGGGGGTCGGGGGGTTCAAAAGGACGAAACCGAAACCGACTTGACGCGATTAGGAAACCGGGCGCATAAACACTGGTTCCTGCGAATCACATCTTGCTCATCCCTACAAGGACTCCTTGGACGAGACGAAACGAGACGAGACGAGACGGCTTTCAGGCTGGACCGAATCGGACATGGAAAACAACAATAACCAGAGACGAGAACGAGAGCGAAGGTCGAGCCAACGGGTGGCATGGCGGGTACCGCAGCATTGGGCCAAGCCAAGTCCAGCCGCGTGCGGTGGCCCAGCCTCCAAGGGCGATCGCCGACGTGAGATCCCGAAATGGGTGCGGTTGCGGAGAGGGGACCGGGGGGACGCTTTGCAACGGCTGACCAACGGATGTCGTTTGCTCCCAACCCGTGTCTCATTCTTCCTTCCTCCTCTCTCCAGTTATCTCAAGGTTCAACCAACAACCACACTACACAGCTCAATTTCCCTACTGCATACATAGCGCATTTGATTCCCGACCAGGCATCTCGACCGTTTTGTTCCTTTACTCGCGTCGTCTCACATGGACTCGCTTGCCCCCAAGGCTAGTGCCTCAATATTTGCCGATACGACTCTACAAGGAGGAATGTACCTTTCATTCAGCTGCTGAAAGGCAAGGCAGGGCGCATGGCGGGGGGGCTTCGGTCAAGGCGCCCAAGTCGGACCAGGGCAGCTGCGTTACAAAGCACTGACAGACCAGCACGACGACGCCGACATCGTACGTGGATCATCGTGAGCACACATGGTGGTGTACACAGCCGATTCAATTGCCGAAGGGCGGCTTGAGCTGACCTAAAGTTTTGTCATACGTACTCATTTCACTCTTCTCCCACGGTCAGATAATTTTATTCTCATCATTTTTCCTCTATCTAGCCTCGCTAGTGCACGTGCGCGAGCATAGTTTGGCTTGCTGGATCTTGGGCCCAAAGGGTCATCGGGAAAAAAGTGTTAGTCGGTGGGGTCCAGACTCGTCTCTTTTGAGGTCTCCCAAGTTTCCGCGCCCCGCCGGCCTTAACGCCGGTCACAAAGTCTAACCAGAGAACACTACCTACTGCCCACCTTGAATACTCCCGAATCCTTAAAAAAACAGTCAAGGGGACAGCCCACTTCGCTCCACCTCCCATTCAACCCTAGCAAGTCAAGCAAGCACTTCCCAAAGGAGTCAAATCTTTGACGAGGCTTGCCTCAAGAGGGAGAAACAAGATGGCATCAAGCCAAGCAAGCCCCGATGGCGATATCTGGGTACCAAAGAGTCGGGTCAATCCAACGGCGGTAGCTCCGATGTTTCTCATTGGAGAACCCATACCTCACTTGGTTCCCTTCCTTTTACACTACACGCTGCTTTACCTACTCAGGGTCCTACCAGGGTGTCAGCGCCGACACAACACACGACAATATGTATCTGCTGAATAAGCGGTGACTGATACCAAAGGGACTGTTCAGTTTAACGATGCCCGATCCGATCGGGTCATTCGTGAGCCTCATCTCTCTTTTTTCCTTTCTTTTCTTTCTCCCTTTCCACCCCCATGTTCTTAACAACAAAGCTATTGCATATGTCCCTATCACACACACCGGACCCAGCGCCGACTGTCTGAACCGGACTGAGCTCCGCTTCGATAATAAGCACTCGGATTTGCTGCTGTTTTTTTGATGCCACCTGCATACCGCTCGGCATATGAATGTGACGACGGTCCAGTCTAGATCGATTGTACAACGGCCCGTATACGGCCCGTATACGGGATGATGTAACACTTCAAGGGACGTGTGGGCTCGAATAAACATTCATCCCCATCACGATGCTTCCAAAATTGGCAGTGTCTATGCCAGAGTGGTATGATCTTGCTGTCCCAATTTGTCATCCTTCCCAGATTGAGTTGAGGGTTGTGACTGGAGGAAATCAAGCTACTGTAGAATCACTTCTTGGTAGCGAAGTAAGTACATTAGTAACTACACCGCAGGAGTGAATATACGAGCAAACCTGCCCAGGGTAGGAGATGTTCTCGGACATATGTCCGCTGGTTGAGATCTTGATATGCACTCCATGTCGATCTGATCAGTCCCGTCCTCGTACCTGACGATTCTCAATAATCTTTACCCTATTATTATTCAATGGCGTAGCATCACATCTGAACAACCCAAGGATAGACTAGTCAGTCGACCGGAGTCGTGTGGGAGAAGAGAAGGGGGTTACTGAAAGGGCACGACAGCGCAAGAAAGGATACGAGAAAAAAAACAGCAAAACGTGGCACCCCTGGTTGAGCCTACGTAGTGTACAGGTACATATCAGACAATCAACCATGCGATGTTCCCCCCCCCCCCCTATCCTGTACCCGGTCCTGTCACAGGCGTTTCCCACAGAAAAAGTTGCTCGTGGCTTACTTGCATAAGTTTGACCCATGTGTTCGGGTCCTGGACGCTGAGTTATGGATGGGGATCTACGGTATATACATACGCCTCAAGTCCTCCATACCATGCAGCATGCTTCCTCTTTCTTATCGCCAGGGGCTTTTGCTTTACTTTTCCTTGGCTTCTAATTGCAATTGATTTCGGGTTGAAGAGTAGGTATGGCCCGGGGCAGGTGGTATCACTTCAATAAAACCATGCTCTTTGGACATTCAGGATTTCAAGGGGAGGTCTCTCACCGAAAGTTAAGTTGCTGAGCTCAAGCTGGTTCGGTACCTACCTACCTACCCAAGATCCAAATTTCCAAATTTCAGCTTTGTTGGACTGAACTGGATTTCAGCGTACCATGGTACACTAAGCATCCTGATCTTCGTCGATCGATCCCACCGACCTACCAACCAACCAACCAACTAAGCAGCCAACCAAACGGTCTACTTGCCTGCCTACCTGCTGTCAGCCTCGCGAGCCGAATGATAGATAGATAGACAGCCAGCCTCAAAGCATCGCCATCTCCATCTTTCATCTCCATCGCTGAGATCAAACCTACCTAAAATCCTCACCGCCCGCCCACCGCCCACCGCCACCGGCAAGTGGAGGAGCCGGCCGGCCGGCCGCAAATCCAAATTCAAGGGTCCCGGTACTTCGGGGAACAAAGGTCAAAGCATACGTCGATCTTCATTTTAAGCCTCACTTACCTCACCTGCTAGTGTAAGTAGGTACATACACTACATACATAGTGGTAAGCTCGCGTGGCTCGGTGGACACACTTCACATGGATTTTTTCTTTACACTAGACTACATACATACCTAGTAAAAAGAGGGCTTTTTTTTTTTTTTTTTTTTTTTTAAATTTAGCTATGACGACAGTATGGATTCTTGTTGTGCACATGGATGGACATGCGCGTTTCTTTAGCGATGAAGATCTTCGACAGCCTCGCTTTCTTTTTGCGATCGATTGAACCCATAAGGAACTCCACGTACCTATCCATTATATACTCCATATCGGATGGAAAAACATAGATTTAGGGGGGATATTATGTATGGGGTTTTGTAGATCGTACATAGTGTAGTGTAGTGTACATAGGTAGTGTACAGACTACGGATAACGGATCGGCTCTCGTACCCCAGGCTACGATATTTCTCTTTCTCTTTCTCTTCGATCCGAAGAACCCTTGTCAGTGGACATGATGGCAGGGAACTTCGGGGAGGATATTCATCTTTTATGTGATTTCGGGGTACACTACTCTAGATCGATGCATGTGACAATGGCGGAGATATCTCATAGTGTAGCTCCGGGTCTTTAAAGGATGGCACAGACTTCATGTCCATGGAAATTGAGTTGCGAAGTGTAGAGGTAGGTATGTATTTAGTCCACAAGAATATAGGTACCTACATACCCGTCACGTCACCCCTGTCTTGTCTTGTCTTGTCTTGTCTTGTGCTTCCTTCCAATTTACCTACCATCATCTTAATAAAAACCAAAAGGCTATCAAGAAAGACCTTACTAATCATACCTACCATGTAGACTACCCAAGTCCACCCCAGCAGAGCAGACCGAACATAAGGTAGGTAGTGCATCGCGATCCTGTGGACACCCACTCACTCACCCACCCACCTACTCTCCGCCTACTCTCCGCCTTGTACACTACACTTAATTCCCCGAACTCCCCGATCTCTAGCTCCACCCCTCCCGAGTTACATGCCGTGCCCTCGAGCCGCCTTCGCTGCCGCCGTCGGTCTTGGTCATGATCGGTGTCTTGGTCTTGCTTGGGTGGTGTGGTACACAGGCAGGTAAAGGTACGCAGATACGAAAAGAGAGCCTTATCTTCAGTCCGCCGAGGGCGCTCTAGCGGTGAACGAACGATACCTATCTAGAGGTACTTATCGCGGAAAAGTTCCGTATACGAGACGACCCTTGGAACTTTTTGTATAAAATGCTTTCTAAACATGAAGTAACTGGACTGAACTGAATTGCACTGAACTGCACTGGTTGCACCAAGTCTCACCACGAAATTCCATAAAGTCGGTAATTTATCCCATAACGAAACAACCGGGAAATCTCCAAAAAAGGTCTTGGTGGGAGGAGGTCGGGGTCGGCAGGATCGGAAGGTAATCGATATGCGAAATCCCGTTTTTGGGAGACATGGCGTTGAGAAGGTTTGCATTACTCGGGGTATTTTTCGGATGTCTTGTCTCTGATCTGTTGAGGAGTATACTCGGTCCCGGGGGTTGGTTAAACTGATCAGGTCTAGTCCCGTCGGTGAGACTGAAACCATATTTCAGACAACTTTGTGTGTGTGTGATGAATTATTAAGTAGAATTTGTTTAGAGAGAGAGAGAGATGTAGTATACCAAGCAGAGACACATGTCCTCCCGCCCTCTTCTTGTCTCTCTCTCTCTTTCTCGCGAAAATACCGTTTCAAATACGCCTGCTAATCACACAACAATAGCATTTCGCTTCGCTTTGTCTTTGCCAACTAACCATTTCCCCCCTTGCCACCACAGTAGCCCTTGCGCATGCTTACGCTTTCCTCATACTCCCAATAATCTCCATCTGCGCATCGCGATCCCTCTGTCCCTCGCTGAGGGAGCCGACACTCCTCAGATCGCCCACGACATCCTTGGCCTTGCCAAAGTAGACCTCCTGCAGCAGGTTGCGCATCTTGAGCTCCATATCCTCGACCAGGCGGCCAATGTTGGCAATGTGGCTCTCGTCGTTCTCGACGGGCAGGTCCTGCTCGACCTGGCGCGTCATGTTGCCCGAGAGATCGACCTCGCCGAGGGCGTTGCCCTTGGTGGCCAGCGAGAGGATGACGGTCGAGGTAAGGCGGTAGTTGGAGGTGCGGCCGCGCTCCGAGGCTTCGAAGACGTGGATGGAGTCCCACACGCCCGAGGAGGAGGGGTTGGTTGGGGAGGCTGTTCAACGGCAGAGGAGTTAGCATGATAGTGTCCGTGTAGTGAGTGCATGTAGACCGGCCAGCAACGATCCCTAGCAATCCAATCCAAAATAAACAGACAACAGAGGAACAACTCACACTTCTTCAACAACACCACCCCCGCAAACCCATCGTCCAAATTCCAGAAATACACCGAACTCACACCCCCCTCATAATACAGCTCTCTGTACACATCAAACGCCTCGTTGGCCTTGATCTCCATCTTCCTCACCCTCTCGCCAGGCATGATCGATCCCGCCGCACCCCCTTCTCCTCCATCTCCCTCGCCATCTCCACCGCTACCGCCCTGGTTGCCGCCCTCAAGCGGAGGGTCGAACTGGTTGCTCCATGGCGAGCGGTAGCTGTCGCCGTCGCGGTTGTAGTCGCATAGCAGGTAGTCGCGGCCGGTTTGCTTGCAGCGCTTGACGGTCAGGGGCTGGTCGACGGAGGAGAGCAGGTCTTCGGTCAGGTCGGGGGCGAGGGTGATGAGGTTGTTGAGGTGCTCGGCCGTGTGTTTGGGGTTGAGGCGGCGGAGGAGGTCGCTTTTGGGTAAGGGGTGTTAGCTTATATGATCTGGTTCGCCTCTGGTTATTCGCGCTATGCTGCGCTTGGTGATGATGATGTTGTTGCGCTTGTTGGTGGTGGTGGTGGTGGTGATGATGTAGTTGGCGGTCGGTGTAGATCTGGCTAGGGCGCAAGGAGGGGTGGTGGGTAGGCGGACTCTGCGACTTAGTAGACTTACAGGGCGGAATCAAAGGGGTCTGCAGTCGCCATCTTGACGGGTATTCCTCTAAGGGTCGGTAGGAGTGTGATACTCTTGTTTGTTTGTTTTTGTTCACTCGGTGAAGGTCGAAATGGCGGCGCGGCGACGGATGGGTAGACAGGCCAGGGCAATGGAGACAGGTGCTAATGTTAGGTGGTTCCTAGCTGTTGAGTTGGCGGGGATGTTCCAGGGTCGGGTTGCTAGGTATGAAACCTCCACTGCACTGGTGGGGTTCCCGCTGTCGCTGTTTCAGGGGCTCATGCACGGCCAATCGCACTGTTTGTTTCCATGTGGTGATGTTTCTGTACGAGATATTCTTTGCCAAGAAGCATCAACTTTGACGATGAGAGGCGTAACCCGCGAAGGAACTCTAGAAATATCTAATTTAAAAGACCGGATCAATGATGATAGGCTATCGTAGGTGTCTCAAGATTCCTTTGAGTTACACTAAGCAAGTCATGATGTACGTCCCTTGCCACTATCATCAGGTGATGAAACCTCCTCATTGACATTTCTTGTAAAGTCAACAGTCAGCCAGCTCATCTTTACCTGACCGACGACCCCTTGCAAACTGTCAACAACTAACAGCCTTATTTCGAATCTCTTCATCTCATCGTCACCTTTCCAACATGAGGTGAAGCACCGTACCGGACACCATGAAGCTAATATCTGTATTGGGTATGATTTCTGTCCTTTTTCGCACACACTCTCACACTCACATGCGCACTGCGACTTACCATCCAGCCAGATTGGGGGCTCTACCTCCTCATCCCAACCCTCATCCTCCTTCACCTCGTTATCGCCCCATACACCAAGGTTGAGGAGTCTTTCAACATCCAAGCCACCCACGATGTCCTTGTGTACGGCACGCCACTTCAGAATGCTCATCACCGACTATCTCAAACATATGACCATTTCACCTTTCCTGGTGCCGTACCCCGAACCTTTGCTGGCCCTGTGGTCTTGGCCGGGCTCGGACAGCCCATCGTCAACCTTGCCGGCTTTGACCATGCCCAAACCATTGTGAGGGGCATGCTAGGCCTCGCTAATGCGGCTGCTATTCTTTTGTTTGCGCGGAATTTTAGACGTGCCTATGGACGCTCGGCAGCGAGGTGGTATTTACTTTTGCAGGCCAGTCAGTTCCATGTCATTTTCTACGCGTCGAGGACTTTGCCGAATATGTTTGCTTTCGGTCTGAGTAAGTAAACTGCCTCATCCTCATTCTCATGGACGACGGAAAACTGACATTATCAGCAACAACGGCCGCCGCTCTCCTCCTCCCGAACCCGCAGTCCCCGGAGCTCATCCACCGCCGCCACCGCTCCGCCATCTCGCTCCTCATCATGGCTGGCGTCATCTTCCGCTCCGAAGTCGCGCTTCTCCTCTTCACCACCATCTTCCACCTCCTCTTTGTCGTCCCCTCCACCTCTCTGGAGCGCATAATCCCGCACTTTATCGTCGCCGTCATCGTTTCCCTTATCATGACGGTGCCCTTGGATTCTTACTTTTGGCAGAAACCGCTCTGGCCCGAACTGTGGGGCTTCTACTTCAACGCCGTGCAAGGCAACTCCAGCGAGTGGGGCACCTCTCCGTGGTGGTACTACTTTGTCTCGGCCATCCCGAGACTGCTCGTCAATCCGCTTACCTGGGGTTTGATGATCCCCGTGGCGTGGAAGCAGCCGGCTGTGAGACCAGCGGTGAAGGGACTGCTGGTGCCGAGTCTGTTGTTTGTGGCGATCTACTCGCTGCAGCCGCACAAGGAAGCCAGGTTCATCTTTTACGTGGTTCCTTCGCTTACTGGTGCTGCGGCCTTGGGGGCGGACTGGATTGCTAGGAGGAGCATCAAAGCGGGGAAGACGGCCGCTGTTTTGACGTGGGGAGTTTTACTTGTGTCGATTGCGGTATCCTTTGTGGCTAGCACGGGCATGTTGCTGATTTCATCGCTCAACTACCCCGGCGGCGAAGCGCTCGCATACTTGCGAGACACGGTCCAGGCGGAGGTTGCTGCGTCTAGTTCATCCTCGGCTGTTGTGCCTGTTCATGCCGATGTCCTGTCTTGCATGACGGGTGTCACGCTGTTTGGGACGGCTACGGGGTATGCGTCGGCTGTTCCTAGCAAGGGCAAGATTGTCAGGAAGAGTCCCGGGAACAGTGTGGTGCTTGCGCTGGACAAGACTGAGAACGAGTCTGTGCTTGTCCAAGAGGCATTTTGGAAACGATTCGACTATGTTTTGGCTGAGGATACTAAGAAGGTTAGAGGGGATGACTGGGAGACGGTCGGTATGGTCAAGGGATATGGTGGGATTGAGGTGTCCCTGAATGGCCACGCGGAGGAGGACAAGGTGCCAGAAGATGTTCCCGTGGTCGGGAAAAGTGTTTCCGTTGAGCGATGGAAGAACCGCGTAAAGGCAATCACAGGAGGAAAATGGGTTGGCCCGAGGATGGTCCCACGGATATACATCTTGAGGAGGGTCAAGGATGCCAGGAGGGCCAGGGAAACGGTCGATGTGTAGGTCTACTGTAGTATGTAGCATGTGTGTTGTCAACAAAACAGGAGTGATAGTGTACTTGTAGGATACGCGTATTCCATTACGCGGATAGACTAAGCCCCAGTCGTAACAAAGTGGAAGGTGTTATGCACGTCGGGTAGCTTGTCCCTGGGCTTCCACAACTGTTGACTCCCCCTAAAGCGCATGGAAACTCCGCCACAACGGTTCGCTTTGTCGTCATCAAAACTGGAGCGGCCCAATTACAGGCGGCTGGAACCCATTAAGCGCCCCTGTCCAAGCCCCAAACCCGCTCTAAATCGCAGTCGCCCAATTGGGCACCATCCTCAGTGCCTCCTCACCAACTCGGCTGTAAATCCAATCAATCCCCGAACATACGTCGGACAACCCCGAACACCATCAGTCAATAGAGGTATCCAGTCGGATCGATACCTCCTGTCGTTTACTTACCCATTCTACGTGCCTTCATTCTGGTTCGTACAACCAGTGGGAGTTGAGTCCCTCCTTCAACGACTACAAAGATCGACGAGGCGACGACCCCTCTTCTTGCGTTTGGGTTGTACAAGGCCGCAGAAGAGTGACGCACTTACCTATCCTCGACCTTCATCATTTACCCAGTGTACCACCAGTACCTACCTTATTCATCGACACTGCCGATTCGGACAATTGAGATTCAGCCACTCTCTTTCACCAACTTGCCAATTCAGAGGATACTACTCACTTCTAATCACCTCGACTAGTACTTTTCAACCACCTACCAGCACTCACTTCTGGACCCTTCCCCTCTTTCTCAAACTTTACGACCTCTATACCTCAACATCAACTCACCAACCCACACCACAAAACGCCGCCCGTGATAATCCAACAATCGTTCTCCTCATCACCATCATGACCCAACCACCAAGCCACCCACAACCCTCCTCCCCGCTCTCCCCCCTCTCCCCCTCCGACTCCCCCCCTCCTCCCGCCTACGGCGACTCCCTAGATTTGGACCACATCTCCCTCTCGCGCGCCGGTTTCCAAGCCGGTGCAGCCCTCACCTCCGACGGCCGCATCAACATCTCCATCTCCGAAAAGAACCACCGCCTCTCTCAACTGCTCGCTCCCGCCCTGCGCAACCAACTCTCCGGCCATCCCCCTTCACCCATCACCACCACCACCGGCGGTCCACTTCCACCTCCCTACATCCCCACCAGCCTAGGCGGCCATCCGGGCCAGACACCCCCGCCTAAATTGAATGTAGTCATCCAAATTGTCGGATCCCGAGGGGACGTCCAACCCTTCGTGGCATTGGGCCAAACGCTGAAGCAGACATACGGACATCGAGTGCGGGTGGCTACGCACCCTGTCTTTCAGAAATTCGTGGAGGAAAGCGGACTCGAGTTTTTTAGTATCGGTGGGGATCCGGCGGAGTTGATGGCGTTTATGGTCAAACACCCTGGGTTGATGCCGGGGTTTGACGCCATCAAGACGGGAGAGGTGACGAAGCGGAGAAAGGGAGTCATGGAGGTGTTGATGGGGTGTTGGAGGAGTTGTTTTGAAGCGGGCGATGGGACGGGGCCGCCGCCGAGGGAGTGGAAGAAGGGAGACAGAAATGCAGAGGGAGTACCGGTGGGGCAGGATGGATGGACGGTATCATCATCATCATCATCGGGAACGGGGGGGAAGCCGTTTGTGGCGGATGCGATTATTGCAAATCCGCCCAGTTTTGCGCATATTCACTGCGCGGAGAAGTTGGGGATTCCATTGCATATGATGTTCACGTGGGTTCTTTTACATTTATCTTCTGGTTGTGATGATATGAAGACATGGCTAACATGATGACAGGATGCCATGGTCACCAACAAGGGCCTTCGCCCATCCGCTAGCCAACATCGAGGCCTCCAACGCTGATGTCAACATCACCAACTACATCTCTTATGCCCTGGTAGAGATGATGACCTGGCAGGGTTTAGGAGACGTCATCAACCGCTTCAGAGAGAAGGTGCTCGACCTCGAACCTCTTTCCCTACTATGGGCGCCAGGACTGCTCACCCGTCTACGCATACCGACAACCTACTGTTGGTCTCCTGCTCTGATCCCAAAGCCCAACGACTGGGCTCAGGAGATCAGCGTAGCAGGTTTCTACTTTCTCGATCTGGCGACTAATTACACCCCTGAGCCCGATCTTGCCGCTTTCCTTGCCGCTGGTCCGCCACCGGTATACATCGGCTTTGGTTCCATCGTCGTTGATGACCCCGACGCCTTAACCCGTCTCATCCTCCGTGCCGTAGCCAAGTCGGGTGTTCGAGCTCTCATTTCCAAGGGATGGGGTGGCATCGGCCTCACCGAAGACATCACGCAGGCGGACTGGGCCCCTCGTCCGGATCAGTACTTCATGCTCGGCAACTGTCCACATGATTGGCTATTCAACCGCGTCTCGGCCGTGGTTCATCATGGAGGAGCAGGCACCAGCGCAGCAGGCATCAAGGCCGGAAAGCCTACCGTCGTGGTTCCCTTCTTTGGCGACCAACCCTTCTGGGGAGCCATGATTGCCAAGTCTGGTGCTGGCCCCAAGCCAATTCCGAACAAGGAGCTGACAGCGGAGAACCTGGCAGCAGCGATCCAAGAGGCGCTCAAGCCAGAGACACTGGCAAGGGCGAAAGAGCTCGGAAACAAGATCAAAGAGGAGAAGGGAGCTGATGAAGGTGGCAAGACCTTTCATCAGTTCTTGGACGTCGATGCTCTGCGGTGCAGCTTGTCGCCCAGCAGAGTTGCCACGTGGAGAGTTAGGAGGACAAAGGTCAGGTTGAGTGCGTTTGCTGCCGAGGTATTGGTCAGGGAAGGGTTGTTGCAGTACTCGGATCTGAAGCTGTGAGTGCATATCGACCGATACTGAAGATTGACTTGGCATGATTACTAACCAAATTAGGTTCCGAGCAAAGGAGCACATCACCGATGGTCAGCCATGGGATCCTATTACAGCTGTTACAGCGGCTCTGGTGGAGGACCTTGGGACAATGGCCATGTCGGTTGCCGACTTCCCCAGGGGAATCTTCAAAGCCAAGGAGGCGAGAAGGGCGAGAAACCTTTCGGGTGGTAATGGTCAGGCTTTAGGATCCGAAACACCAGCAGACGGAGCTCATGGGGCTTCATCTCCCCAGGCGCACGGCGCCCTCAGCCCCGAAAGCCAACCAGGGTCCTCTTACTTTCCTCCCACAGCGGGAGATACCGCAGAAGGAGCATCCCGGTCGGCATCTGATGTCAAGGGCAAGGGAAAGTCCGTACCTTCAGGTACGCATAGCAGAAATGACTCTTTCAGGGGCTCATTCAACCAGCGTTCCACAAGTGGAGGTGGGGGTCCATCAACGCCCGGTGGCACCGCAAACATGTCTGGGGCCGCGAGTCCTCAGCTGAACCCAGAGGCGTTTAGTTATAAGTCGGCTCGTGACGCTACCAGCAGCGTTGGCCGCTTGGTCGACACGGGTATGAAGATGCCCATGAACGTGTGCCTCGGACTCGCGCGCGGCTTCCGCAACGCTCCTCGTTTGTACAACGATGATACCGTCAGGCCTCAGGAAAAGGTAACCGACTTTGCTTCGGGGGTGAGAGTTGCAACGAGGGAGTTTGGCTTTGGCATGTATGATGGACTCTCTGGCCTAGTGACTCAACCCATGAGGGGCGCAGAGAAGGAAGGTACCAAGGGATTATTGAAGGGATTCGCCAAGGGGATTGGTGGAGTTTTTCTGAAGCCTGGTGCTGCCATATGGTCGATTCCTGCCTATACCATGCAAGGGCTCAATGCCGAAGTCAGAAAACTGTTTAGCGGCGGCGGTTGGATGAACCATATTATGACAGCCAGGGCGCAGCAGGGCAGAGAAGAGATGGAGCATGCGACGAGAGAGGAGGTGAAAGATGTAGTGGCAAGGTGGCAGGAGAAGAGGTGGGAAGATGTGGCTAAAGGGGGTGTTCAAGGGAAAGGAAAAGGAGTCGTCTCACCGGGCACGCCAGCCGGAGGAGCGGGTGGCAGCTCGGGTCAGGGACAGGCTCGAAGCGGAGTGGCTGCTGTTGTCGGGGCGAGCAATGACGCCGAACTGGAAAGGGCCATTCAAGCTTCGATCCAGCAGACTTCCAATGGTGATCCCCAGGAAGACGCTCGGGTTGAGGCTGCCATCAGACTCAGTCTTGCTCAGATGCAACACCAAATGGCTTCGCAAGCTCAGCAGCCGCCTCAACATGACGGAACCGTACCAGCTAGGTATTCAGACCTCAAATCGCCTCCTGGCGGCTGGTCACAATCAGCAACTGGTCCTCCTCCTCCCTCTTCGGCAGATGTGGCATCACCAGCGGCACAACCCCCTGCATATTCGGCCGACTACCAACAACACCCACCTCCACCTGAGAAATCGTCGCTTGCGCAAGCCATGATCGATGAGTACTTTACCGGCATTTCAGACGAGGAGTACCAAGCCCTAATAGAAGAGGCTGTTCAGCAAAGTATCCGCGCTCAGATGAATCAGCCATCGACAATGAGCGCCGAGGAGGAGAAGGACCTCCTGAAGGCGATCGAGGCATCCAAATCTACCTACACATTTGGGGATGTACCGCCTCCACCGCCGGCCTATCAGTCAAGTGGGTTCACTTCAATCGCCACGCCCAGCATTCCCAACAACGGAGAGGCAGGTGGGGGTCCCGAGGAGGAGGAGGAAGAGATGAGGAAAGCGCTCGAGGAAAGTGAGCGCATGGATAGAGAGCGGAGGGAGCAGGAAGAGAGGGAGAAGCAGGAAGAGGCGATTGTGTTGGAGTGGGTGAAGAGGCAGAGTTTGGCCGAGGAGCGCTTCAGAGGTGGGAGTCAAAGGGGCCTTGGAGGAGGTGAGGGGAGTGGAGGTGGAGGTGGAGGTGGAGGTGGAAGTGGGGGTGGCCAGGGGCAGGTTCAGAGACAGACCCAAGCGCAGACGCAGGAACAAGGTCACGTACCGCGGCAATATCAACCAGCGCAGGTTCAAAGCGAAAGTCGGGGACAAGAGCTGGAAGGTAATTTTGAAGCTGATGAGCACCATGGACCCATCCAAATGGAAGATAGGGATTACGATGAGGAGGAAGAGTTTAGAAGGGCGCTTGAGGAAAGTATGAGGATCAGTGGCCAGGGAGATAGTAGGGGGCAATAAGGGATGATGGATAGATGGCCTTTACTCACCAACATGTTAGATATTTGCATTCATTTCTTGGAAAAAGGTACATCTCGTGGCAACGTGAACTGAGTGGGTCGAGAAGAGATCATGATGTGTGGGGGTGCACGGCCACCTCCACTTCATGCAGGCCCCGCAATGCCAGACAGAGCGAGGCACTCAGCAAGTAGGTAGTGTATACAGTACATCGAATGCACCTGCAGAAAAAGGCGAATCGATACTATCTTTTTGGGTAGGAAGCCATCAACTATAAAGGAGCGATCTTGGCGATAGTTGGAGGGACTCAAGCCATCAAATGTAGTGGAAGGAGGACCAGCGACACTGCAGTTTCAACCTCTAGTCACCTGTCTTGGGCTGTTCATGGTGTCTTCTGCTCCTTCCCTGAAATTGTCCAAATTGGGAAAGTCTTGGACAGCTTCTCGACATCTGATTGGCCAGCTCCAAGAACGAACCAACACTGACTGTGTAGTGTACCATAGTATAGTTGGGCAAGCACGGGCACTACTCGAGCTCACTCTTGCCCTCATGATTATCTCATCATGGCGTCTCTCCAAATGCCCTTCACTCCCACCGTGACGCAAATTGCCCGCCAAGACATGGTCCACGACAGCAGAGCAGAGCCACAGATGCACTGTCACTGTTACTCTGCACTTCGTCCCCTCATGACATAAGTAGGTAAGGTAGGTAAGGTACGAACACTAAATAGCACTGCACCTCCCACTGCCCGGCTCTCTACGACCTCCTTCGCCCCTCGTCAACTCAACTCCTCCTGATCTTGTTTGACAGTACAGTACCTCGAATAAAATAACCGCATTTCTACACGACCATCAAAATCACAATCTCCAACCATGACGCGCTCCAGGAAAACACCCATCCTCCTCCTCGATGGCACCGGCGTGGTCCCGTCCCGCATCGCCCGCCGGCTCGCTGCGTCCTCGGCCGACAAGCACCCCTTGCTAGTTGCCTCCATCCTCGGGGAGGACCCCAACGGCGTCAAGTTCAACCTCTACGATTCCAACACCTGGGAGAACCCCTTTGCCCGCGCACAGGAGCTGTTTGGCAGCGACAACGAAATGGAGAGTGACGGCATGATCCACTCCATCTACCTCACCGCGCCCAACAGCCCGCCTTCCAGCACCCACGTCCATTCGCACTCGTCCCGCACCTCCACCCTCGCCGCCTCAGACGAGCAACAAGAACGAGCCCCTTCCCCTTCGCCCTCCCAGCAGGCATCTCTCCTGATGCAGTTCGTGGACTACGCCCGCCTCAAACACGGCACACGCCGCTTCGTCCTGCAGTCTGCCAGCGCTATGGAACCCGGCGGCTTTTCGTTGGGGCGGGTGCATGCGTACCTGCGGGAGCTGGGCCAGAGGGGAGAGGCCGAGTGGGCGGTGCTGAGACCGACTTGGTGCCAGCAGGACTTTGAGCAGCAGTGCCATGTCAAGAGCATCAAAGAGGAGAATAGGCTGTACTCGGCGACGAGCAGGGGCAAGATCCCATGGGTGTCGGCGGATGATATCGCGGCTGTGGCGGTGGAGGCCTTGACGAACAAAGATGCCCCGAATACAGAGTATTTGGTTCTGGGACCCGAGTTATTGGGGTATGATGATGTGAGTAGGACCAAAATCCCCTGGGTTTTACGTTGACATTAATATTGATACTGACGACCTTCCTCCGTTACAGATTGCAAGCATCCTCTCCTCTGTTCTTGGTCGCAAGATTGTCCATGTCGACCTCAGCAGTCACGACCTTGAACGTCGCCAGCAGTCATTTGGATGTTCAGAAGAGCATTCGCGCTTGATGAGCTCACTGGATACGGCAATCAAGTACGGGACGGAAAATAGGACGAATGATGTGGTTCTTAGTATGACTGGCAACAAGCCCAAGAGTTTTCGAGAGTACGCTGAGAGTGCCAAGCATCTTTGGGTATAGATTGAAAGCACACAACATGGGAAAAGGGATATTCAGAGGTGTGAATACGGCACGGCTCCCTTCCTATGTCTTTTTTGGCCCTTCTACAACAGTATGTTGTTGTTGTTCACAGTGTGAGCAAGGGATGGGGGGAAGTTTGTTTGCGAATCATACCTGTACGTCAAGTGAATGACAGATTGAACTTCGTGAACCCTAATATTCAACCCTATTAACCGACCAATCCGTAATGTCCTAAACCCATACTCCCCAACCATGCGCCTTCAAAATCATTTCCCCAGCCATGTCTCCCTATGATCTCTTGAAGCCACCCTTCGTTACATGTCTGATATCCTTGAAAGCATCAATAGCTTGTGGTGAGAATTACGTTGAAAGTCTCCCACAAGCTTGCCCTCCCAACACCCAAAAAGAAATGTTTTCCCAGATCCTGCCATTGATAGCATACGTCAGTAACCACAACATTTCTCATCAAACTCAAATCAAGAACCGAGGGCAAAACGTACCTCTACTCTGTAGCGGCTACCAAGCTACTATAGGGCCTGATTACGCAGAGCTGCACTACCACTACCAGTGGTGATTGATGGGGCAGGGATCTGTGTGGCATTGGATGGTGGTACCGCGGGGGGTGACGAGTTCAGAGTCGGTAGTCCCTTGTGGGGAGGGCTGCTGCACGGCTTGTATGTGGGATATAGGTGTAGGTACAGGCGCTGCGAGGACGGCGGTGATGCCGGTGTTGAGAGCTAAGGTGGCGAGGATGGAGGAGATGAGTGATAGACGCATTTTTGATTGAATTGGTTTTGATTGTATATGGATTTGTTGTGTGTTGGTTGAGGCTGGATACTTGGAAAGGAACTGAAAGGGTGGTTGGAGAAAAAAAATAGGGGTTGAGCAGGTATAAGTTAAGAGGGGGTTCAGTTTGGCGGGAAGATTGAAGATGATGATGATGACAAGCTGATAAATAGTCAGACAGGAGAAAATCGACGAAAGACAGACAGAGAACGGGAACAAGCCGGTCGACGTTTATATATACCGACTCTAACTAGTCTAGCGGCCCACATCTGTCGCATCCTAGTCACCGATAACGACAATGACAACGACAACGACGATCTTACCGCCATTTCACAGCACCTTACCTCCTTCCTCCTTCCCGTCAGTTGATCACACTGTTCCGTCATCTCGAACAGAGCTAAGGGGATCTACACACACTACAGCCTTTCCGAGGTTCATAGTAGTAGCGTAACGTACATATTATAGTAGTCCGCTGCATATCTCAGTTGTAGAGGTAGTTGTCTCTTGGGATTGGATCATTGGATCATTAGGAGCGCGTGTCGTGTGTGTGGAGGCTGAATGATCGACAAGCTTAGGTTTTGTAATTGTTCCCCCCCCCCCGGGAGCCTCCTTTCCTGGATGCCACGTGGAGTGGAGGTGTGGACTACAACTAACTACCTAGAGGTACTTACACTAGACTAGGTTCACTAGGTAGTGGGTCGACTAAAAGTCCGGTCGGGTCGGTGCGGTGTGTTGTGATGCACACCAAGGATTGGTCGATTGTATTGAGTTCATCACTCAGCCTTAGTACCTACGTACCTAGAGGTACGTACCTGCCAGGTTTTGTGGGTCGGTCACCTGAGGCAGTCCGTCAGTGACTGAAGCTTGAGATTGTACTACTATGTGACGAACCGTTACAAGCACAAGAGTATATCGCTGGGATGATCAATAGACAACGGTAGTAGTAGCCAAAAGGTACTGATCGATTATAGAAGCTATTGCTTGCTGGAGAGCCATAATAACGAAGGCCGGGAGGCCGTCTTATATACTGGCTCTCAGCCGGTCCCGTAGTCCCGATATTTCGGGACTCCGGGCTTGCCCCGTGGTCCCGTTGTTCCGGGACCCCGGGACCCTCCTGATTGGTCAATCTATCTAAGCTTGTTGGTTGGATCGTAACATACTAGTAGTATACTTCTACTTTACTACTGAAATTTTGACTTTTCTCTGTAAGGTAGGGTAGGGTAGGGTATTTCCATCCATGTATGTCCCTCTTGGCGGCCAGATAGATCTAATCGAGGAGGAGTCCCCGAATATTATTCTATCGATGTGATCCTACCGCTGTTCCTTCTTCTTCTTCTTCTTCTTCTTCTCTTCACTTCCACTTGCAAAATAGGTAGGTAGGTAGGCAGATCGCGGCGGTTGCCAAGGGCCAAGGGGGGCCATCCTTCGCCGTTTTCCTGGGACTGAATGCGGCAGATCGACTGGATTGCCCGAGTTCGTCATGCCATGTGGGATCGGGTGTGTACCTAGGTATCTATCTCTAGCCTCTCACATTACCGAGTTCCTCCCACGTGTTTTGGTCGAGAAGACCTAGTCCCTAGAGGTAGAAAAGATAGTGGAGTGGAGTGGACGTCGACGAGAGAGGAAGAAGAACAAAAGGCCAAGCTTTGACGAGTGAACTTTGTCGATAGGTCAATCGTCTATGTTTACGTAGCGCGGTAGTAGTAGTAGTTACGAGCGCGGACCTTCCCAGATATATATATATATATATATATATATATATAGCACCATCATCCAATGGAAGACGGCTGACCGACGTAGAGGTCACCCACCATGTTGGTGATGATGTTGACTGCCAGCAGCAGCCCGCGCGAGAGTCGAGTGTCGTGAGCTGCGTGAGTTGTTCAACTAAAGTTCAGTTTAGGGAACGGTTCGCTTGCTTGTTTTGACGCAGCTGAAGACCTCTAGATCGACATAGAGGTATGCGCGCAATCTCCACTTGAGGCGGTTCCTGCAACGTTTTACAATTGTAACACGGTAGCTAGGTACCTAGGTAAGGTACCTAGGTACAGATCAATCGGATTTGCCTTGGAAATTTCAATTAGGCAGGCAGGGCTGGATTAGCTAGGACATTCCACCTGCAGTGATAAAAGGGGGAGCCTCTTCTCAAGGTATGTAGGGAGAAGAGAGGGGCAGGCAACTTGTACAATCATTCTTTCCTGATTGAATAAATTCAGGCTTCCACCCAAAAGACTTGGCCAAGTTTACCTCGGGAATTCATTCCTCATGTACAACGACAACCAATTCTGCTCCTCGTTGGAGTCAAGTCTAGCTCGGATGACCCAACGTTGTTCTTCTTCCTTCATTGACTTATGACTTAGCTAAGTAGGTAAGTATTTGGATCCATTCTTCCTTCTTGCCATACTACTCAAAGACTAGCAATGATCAGATTGCCGTATTTGACACCACTTTTTCATAGGAGGCTATCCTGTCTTGCTCCATTTCACTGTTAGAGAATTTCACACTGGCGAAGTGCGCATATTACATCATCGCACTTGACTCGGATAGATCCCTGTGCTGTTGTGACCAAGAGTTGTAAGTATTTATTAATGTAACGAAGCGGAATGTTGGCAGACTCTACAAGTTGGAGCTTTATGCTGCAACATGTGCTGAAATTAGAACATGGTGTTGACAATCTTGGAACTGCATCTTCTATTTGGAGATGTACTTTCTTCTTGGTAATGTATCCTCTTCTTGAAAACGTACATTATCCCCTCACCTCCACGGTATGAGTTCTTCGCCACATGTCAGCTCCATTGTTGGTCTCACGATCCTCAGATAGAGGTATATAACATTGATCATCCTCTGCCCTTGGATCATTTTATCTCTTTCTCATCATCATCATTACCATCATCCATCAAACACTCCAGTTCCGGCTTTTTGCAACTCATCCATCTTCCCAACCCACCACCACTTATCAAAATGCGCTACTCACTCATTTCTGCAATTGCCACCCTTGGCAGCGTCGTCATGGCCCAGCCTGTGGTTCGCTCTGTAACTTCACCGCAGGTTTGCGACAGCCTGAAAGTCCTTAAGGAGAAGGCGCAGAAACTTCAAGTATCTTGCCAGGGCACCGAGTGGGATGCTCACTCCATCGCTATCGGCCATGGAGCCTTCTCTGTAAGTCTCTCCAAAGTTTTGTCATTGGTTCGTCAAATCCAGAACTAAAATATACTATAAGATCATCGCTGGCAACGGTGACATGCTCTTGGCGGGCACTAAAACCCTTTCAGACCTGGAGGGTACGAATCCGTTCACGGCCGAGGAGTGCACTGCCATCACCGACTCCTTCAAGGAGTTTTCAGCCGCCCAGCAGGTCTACCTTAACCTTCTCGCTGGCAAGTCGGTTGTTCTCACTAAGGCCCCACTTGCGACCGTTGGCCCATCAGTCGCGGTTTCGCTCACGAACCTCAAGGACGTTTACACGGTGAGTCCTGTTCCTGGCCTATAGCAAACCCTTTAATCAGGCCATGACTGACCTTTTTCTTTTTTCTTTTTACTGACATATCCTATCACCTGTAGAAACTTGACACCAAGCTCATCAGCCTCTGCGCGTCCAAGGCGGAGGAGCTTACTTCCGAGGCCAAGACCTTTGAGGCTACTCTCGATTCTGCTATCAGCAAGTACGGGTCTGTGGGCAAGATCCCAATCCTTCCCAATTGAGACGATCATCAAGCTTCCAATGGGGATGCGACATGGCAATGATGCTTCGCTTTGCTGGATGGACATGACCATCTTGTCAGAATGGTAGGAACAGACAAGAAGAATATGAGCTGAAGATCTATGACATGCGTTTATGGGTTGAGAAACGAAGTTTCCAGGCGGTAAACAGGTCAGCGCCCATAGTTGCGCTTCTTTGCATGGAGAATTCAGTCATATCTTTTATGCTATCAATAAGGTACGATGGCTGTATCGAACAATGTCAGTTCACGATGACTTTAACTGTAATGTATGCAACATGCAAAGTGGAACTCTGCTATTGGCGCAAGTGAAGTAGGTATGAACACGATTAGCGAGCTGCCAGAAATGAAGCAGTGTCAAAACTGTTCGGCTCTGTTGTCATGATGACCCTTTCGCCGACTTAAGTATCCTGCCGTCACCTCCAGCACCCCGATTTCCAAAACCATCTACGAGCATGTCAATCATTCACCGTTCCAGCAACTCCACACACACCTGTCAGCGATTATTCCCTCCCGCGTACCTAGCCGTGCCTTACAAATCCACGTGTTCCATGGCCGACCATGCTGAATGATCCCAGTGTTCATCACCAGTACAAGCTCATCACCACACTACACGTAGCGTACACTACGTAAGGTACCAAGCTCACCCCAAGTTCATTCACCAAGCTCTGCTCATCAGGGCCACCAAACCAGGGGTCATCATCAAGGTGGATCACTAGTCAAATCCTCCCAGCGTCGTCGTCGTTGTGCAAGCCCTGGATTTCGGCACACGATGTCCACCCATTTTGTACCAGACCTTACCTGATGAAGAAAAGATCCTACATATTTCGGTATCCACTTGTAAAGTCCCCTGGTCGTCCGGGCCCCCCTGGTGCCGGCCAATTGGGACCTGCCCGGGATGGTCGGGATGATGTCATTTTTCGTCCCTTTTTGGGGCCCTGGCAGGGGGGTTGTTTGGAGAATATTCACCGATCCGATTCGGACGACAGACAGACGTCTGGAGATCCCGGCCGTGAAATGTTGCCCGGGATGTGGATGGGATGGGATTGGTTTAAGGGGGGCAGTGGGAGGCGGGATTCGAAAGGATTACTAAGAGGGGAATGGATGGGATGGCATGGATGGGGATGGGATGGATGATGGTGTCGGACGGAGAATTCCATTCATCGATCCATGTGAAGATTTTCTCGTTTGTCGTTCATATGGCACCTTTTTCCCTTTTGGTATCATTCTTTTCTTCCCTCATTTGTACCTATCCAGCTTTTAGGTAGTGCTTACACTTATAAGCGCTTCTAGTACTGAACCACAGCAGACTTCCAACTAGGTATCGGACGGAGTAATTCATCGGAGTCCCTTCTCTGGTCGCACAATCTGGACGCTAACCCCCATACCTACTCTACATACCCCGCGAAGCCAAGCTCACCTCACATCACACGAACGAGTTACGAGAAAACAGTCCAAACTCATTTCGCAATCTGAGGCCGACCAGCCACCGACCGACCGACCGGTGCCAGACACGTTTTTTCTTCTCATCACACCACAAGCAAGCTCCGCCAGCAAGGTACGGTAACCAATCCCAATTCTCCATAGTTTCCATCCACAAAGTCGGAACGCCCCCAGGGTCCTAAGTCTAGGGTCTAGAGTCTGGGGTCTCTCTTCTTCACCGCACCCGCTTCAAACCCCGGTATCCCAACACCTTGCTTGGCTCGGTTTCCGCCTCACCTACACTTACACTACTTACCTTTTTTGTTTACCAACCTCGCTCCATTGAATAATTGCTCAAGCGTCGCTAGCTACACCGCATTCTGATTCCTGCCGAACGGCATCGATTGGTTTCATTTGAAGCTAGCAGCCCATTCCCTTGTTCTCTTCTTTGGTCATATCAACACATCAAAGCCAATTTTTTTTTTTTTTTATGTATTTCCACCATACTGAAGTCATATTTTAATTTTACCTACCGACCTAGACTACCTGCCTGCCTTACCTAGGTATTCGGATTACCTCTAGGACGACGACATATGCACCACCACCACTGCGGCACTGCACAGTACTGCACAGCTCGGTAATAGGTACATACATACCTAGGTATCCGAAAGACATTCTACGAAGCGAATTAATACAAAGACACGAAACAAAACGAAACGAAACGCCAAACGAACGACAATTGAACAAATAACAAACCTAGTTTGAATCAATCAAATCGACTCTTTCCTAAACGACGCCTGCCCGCCCGCCGCCCGACAACCAGAAACAAAAACGAAAACACAACACAACATTGCAACATACACAACATACCTAGGTAGTGCACTAGGTATATGCCCGATTCGTCCGCATCAAGCATACCGATTGATTGATTGCATCACGCATGACAACTTCAACAACGCTGTGTGTGGTTAGACCTGACTAAATAATAATTCCGTCGCAATCTGGACCGCATACCGAATCAATTTTTGGGTAATCTGGCACGGCACTACACTGCACTCTGCAACTAAGGACAAGGACAAGCAAGCATCAGATCGACGGTGTTGAATTTTTTTTTGGTTTCCGATTTCGGCACACTTCGTTGCGCCAACAAGCAGACCGAGGAAGGAAGGGAGGGTCGAGGAAAGAAGGACCGAGGACACCATTACCTAGGTTGGAATCGACGATATTCGCATTCCTTTTACTCACCTTTAAAGGACTAAGTACTTGGATTGCTGAGGAGCACCGACGGATTCCATTAGGAAACCACAGGGAAGGAGTTTCTCAAAACTTACCTTGAGGCTACTTACCGTAACGGCATCGTCGACACTTACCACCACCACCAATCGCGGCTGACCCACACACACCCGCATCACACTGCGTCACATACCCGACAAAACTTGTACTCTTCTCACTCGTCCATCATCACTTTTCATCGTCTACGACGTCTACCTCGGTCACCTCGGCTGCCGATAATTCTCCCCGGACGCGTCTTAAACTCATCCTCAACCAACCCTCTCTACGTCGCCGCCCACTGCTATCAAGACCGGGTAAAGACTTAACCGTAAAGACAACAAAAACCGACAGCGTGGAATTTCCTCATGAACCAGCATACCTACCAATAACACACAACCAGATTCCCTCACAATGCCGCCACCAGAAGATCAACACCCTCCAAACCCCTCGTCATCCAATTACTCACAGACTTCCTCACTTGCCTCCTCACGCCCCTCTACACCCAATTCCCAACCCGCCTTCCCCCGCCTCTCTTCCTCCTCCTCTTACTCTCAACCATCTGAACCACCTCAACCATCTCAACCACCCCAACTCCAACCCCAACATGACCATGACCACGAACAACCTCACCCTCCTTCCCCACGAACCACCACCCGCAATGCCAACGCCGGCACCTCAACAATCCGCACCTCAGCCGCCACAGGCGCCCCCTCTCGTCCCTCCCACCAAGCTGGGCCCCCTCATCGAGCCGCAGCACCACCCCCGACCCTCCGCGAAAAGATCTTCCACGCTCTCCCGCCGCACACGGGCCCACTGAACGTGGGCTTCATGGAACTCGAGCTTCCTGTCCGCGAACCCCGCACTTTTTCGCATATTAAGCGCAACGGGGAGTTTGCGCTCAAGCTCGACACCGTCCTTTTCGCCGTCTATTACCCGTGCGAAGGACCGGAGGAGAAGCCCAAGGAGAAAGCCATAATGACAAGGGATCGGATCAGGAGATGTAGGGGCAGTGGGAACTGGGCGGGGTGGGATAATGCAGCAGGGAGGAAGCAAGATGAGGAGGACGAGGCAGGGGGAAAGAAGGGAAATGTGGGGTTGACGAGACCGACTTGGCTGCCTAGGCCGAGACTGTCGACTTGTAAGGGATACGCCAACTTTGCGAATATGCCCAAGGCGCCGGTTGCCTCGTACTTTGCTTTGACGAGTATGTTTACAAAGTTGCCGGCGTGGCGGAATGCGAAGCTGAGTGATGGGCCGCCGTTGGCTGGGCCGGAAGAGATGGGAGAGGAGGCGCTGAATAGGGGGTTCAGCGATACGAGCGAGTTGACGCTTGTCTGGGGACCGAGACCGGTACCAGATGCGGAGGAGTTACGGAGACGGAGAGCAAAGTACCCGGTCATCATTTTCAGCCATGGCCTCGGCGGGTCGAGGACGGTGTATAGTACCATCTGTGGAGAACTGGCCAGTTACGGATTTATCGTGGTCGCCATGGAGCACCGAGACGGAAGCGGAGCGAGGACATATGTGAATCAGGAAGGGTCGTCGCCGGACTTGTGCAGCCAGAATCTGGACCGGAGATCGTACTCGGAACGGGAGAAGGAAGACGGTTCAGCAGTCAAAACGAAACGACGACGCAAAAAGAACGGCAAGAAGAAGCCCTACTACATGGTGGACTACCTCTTTCCCTTGGATAACGCGCAAGATACTCGGCCGCATAACCCAGCCGGGGTGGATACAGAGCTACGGTTGGCGCAAATAGAGATGAGATGTGCCGAGATTCAAGAGGCATATCACATCTTGGGAATGATCAACGACGGGCAAGGAGCAGAGGTTGCGCGTCGCAATCTAAGGAAGAAAGGGAACAAAGGCTCGAGCTCAAAGGGGCTCATAGGCATCGACTGGGAAGATTGGACGGGGAGACTATTCCTGCAAAATGTGACGATGATGGGTCACTCGTTTGGAGGAGCAACGACAGCCCAAGTGCTCAGATTGCGCGAAGACTTCACGTGGATCTCGCAGGGAATCTTGCTCGACGCGTGGGGTCCAGCAATGCCCGAGGCCGACAGCGAGGAGCACAAGATCCAAAAGCCGATATTGGCCATTGGTAGCGAGGCCTTCATGCACTGGAAGGACAATTTCGAACGCGTGGAGAACATTTGTCTCGAGGCCCGAGAGGCGGGCGTGCCCTCGTGGATGACGACGATCCGGGGCTCGGTCCATCTGGCAGCGGCGGATTTTGCGGTCCTTTATCCAAATTGGATGTCACTGCTCATGAAGTCTCTTGTGAATCCTAAGCGCGCGATCCAGCTCCATGTCGAATCGGCACTTGAGTTTCTCCGAATGACGCTACCAGAACAACATCATGCCAAATTCAGCAAAGCCTGGCCGTTTGAAGAGGGGCTGCTGACGGCCATGGAGGGCGCGGCGAATGAGGTCTCGTTCGATTTCCGGCCAAACGAGAAATGGGTCGCCGCTCGGCTAAAGATTCCCCATGAGTTCAAGCTACGCACCCGGAATTGGGCCAAGAGGAGAACACAACCGAGCCGTGATATACCAAGAGATCGAAGTGGAAAGCCCCTTGCAGGGCTGGTAGACTGGGGTGCAGGAAATGAAATTTGGGTGCACATCAGCCCAGACAAGGAGGAAGTGCCAGATGTAAGCGAAGAGGCAGAGTAGTGTAGCGTAGTGGTCGGATTTCTTGTTGTCGCGTTCCACTGGGGCCAGGGAAATGGCGGTGGGATGTGCTAAGGCCGTACCTGGATTTCAATAATACCCGCTGTTTGAGGATGAAGATGTGGTCGCCAAGTAAGCTTGGTGAAGATCGGGGAGATTTTTGTGATCTGATTATGCCCTTGGAGTTGTATCCCAGCCTGCATGCCCAGAACCAGCATTCGGATAATTGGAGTATATCAGCATAGCAAACAGCAACCAACACAAAAGTTGGCTCGGACAAGTGTTTATGCCGAAGATGGGGTTCCAGGTACATAGCGCTCACTGAATACCGGTTCGGATTGACGCTGGATGATAGGTTTGAAGCTGGTGAATGCTGCTTCACTGGATTACTTGCCGGTTGCCGGCCTGCCGAAAATTGATTGCTTATTCCGCGCACAAGAATAGCAGCAATTGTATTCCCCACGGGGTAGAATGGGCGAAATGGACAGGCCAATTGCAGGCAGCCCCTTTTCAACATGTTCGGGCGAGAGGTTGTGAGGAGCGCAGTAGACAGACGGCCGGATAACTGGCTAGGGGCGGGAAGTATATGTGTTGAGGTCTGACGAGGAACACGTAATGTCAATATATAACCACTTTCTGCAGCAGACGGGCCTTTCGCTTCCGGGGGCCAGGGAGTTGGTTGCCGCAGGGATGATTTCTCGCGTACTGGTAAAAGACGCTGGTTAATATCACCGGCCTAGCGCTGTACCAGGAAATTCGAGCAAAAGTATTGATATCCTCGCGGTAGCGGGTAATGGCAAGATTGGGTTCGAGACTTTGCTGTAGTATCGAGGGTGAACATCAACCAGCGGCCATGGCCAAATTTGGGTGGTGAGCCTCAATTTGGGAGTCTCGGGCCCGGTGAATCCCTGGCAAGACATTCATCTGGTGATGGGCATCGACAACCTGTTCCAGAACTGACAAGGCCAGGATGACCCGTGCAGGCAGGAACATCAAGAAGTGGAAGGCTCTTGAGGGGCTATATCCCCTGCTAGCCCTGCCTTTGCCAACTTACCGTGCCAGACGACAGCTTCGGCCGAGGGAGTAGCTCCAAGCTACAAGAAGCTGTTCCTGGTAACTTGAAGATGCTGTGCTCAGTACCACGAGTGTTATGTCGGTCGAGAGCCTATGAAGTTCCGCGAAGCTATAACCGTTGTGGCACGCTGTGGTACTCTCAGTTCCTGGGCGTTCCTGGCTGCAGCAGTCGGCCATTTCCTCGGTGGAAGTGTACCAGACGGGCAAGGCTACAAGGCAGAGGCCATGGCTAGGAACAGAGCAGCATCGGGGGAGGTTTGGCGGTCGTCCGGATGCGCCATCAAAGGCGGAGAAAAGGGTGAGGCGCGACTGCAGTGTATCGTCAGCATCTGTGGTCGGTAGCATCAAGTGATTCCCATTGGAAGCACGCCATTTCACTCGTTCAGCAATTTGGATCAGAAACACGGGGAGCATGTCTCGCCAACTGCTTCTGGGCTCCGTTGAGTGTCGTACGTGGCTGCGAAAATCCTCGTTGACCATGTTGTTGACCATGGTTCATGGACACAACGATGATATCCTGCGGGCAGGAGGCGGATGACCGTGCCAAGTTGAGGATGGACGTGGACATTTGGTAGAGCTGGTAACTAAAGAGGGGTGGCATTGTTCTTTTCTTCGAGTCCAGAACCCTGATCGTGGTCGAGTCAATCTGGTGTGGCTCTTGATGCCGATTTTGCTGGCACTCAACGCAAAGTCAGGCACCGTAGCCTTGGACTTGTGGGACTTTGTAGACTACGCGTCTGCGATGATGGACAAGTTCGGAGAATGGACTGTGAGCGAATTTGCCGATCTGGCGGTCCGAGAATGGAAGAAGTGGTGCGTTAGCGGGCTGCATCGCGTGTATAGTCTGCGTGGTGAGCGCCATGGTGGGTAGGACAGCCGATGAGGAGAGGAGGAGGACAAGAAAGGGACAAGACCAGGCCCAGAAAGCTTGTTGACAAAGCCAAGATTGGTGGGTTACCATTTGAAGATTGAAGGTCAACCCGGACTCCGCGTAAAGTGACATGGAGACCTCAAGCTGAAGAAGTTGAAGTGGTGGAAGCTTCAACAGAATGTCAATTTCGCGGGGAAGAAGTGGAAATCATGTGTGGGTGGTCGGATTTGGTGGACACACTGCCCTGACGGCCCCTGGCAGTGGCAGGGGAACACCCGCCGAGGCTTGCAGATCATGGAGCCTTCCCCAGCCAATTGACCCCACTGGGACAGATGCCCAAAGCTAAAATTGACTGCAACTCGGGTCGATCACTAACAAACAGCAGTGACTTTGATGACCCCCCACTGATAGTCCATTAACACCACCCGACAATAACTGGATGACATCCTCCTCAGGTTCCGTCACTTGCAGTCTGGAAGGTGGGACGAAACTTTTCCCAATCATCTCAACTCTGACGGGATTTTTCCTTTTCTCACTCTCCTCTCGCTCCATGGTTCACGCGCACACACAATTGACGCCAACAATGACCCCATTCTTCTTTTTCCGGATCCTCATGTCGTGATACAACCCTCACTCCGGGTCCAAGACAAGCCCCATGGAACTACCCGGTACCTGTGCAAGCTGGGCTGCACCCCTTCTGCACAAGGGACAAAATAGCACCGAGCAGGTCCGTCCTGAGTAACCCGGAAAATGACCTTTTCTTCAGTCGACCACGACGCGACTGGGCATAGTTTGTATTCGCTTTCTGCATGATGCCGTGTCCAGGAGCAGCACGCCCAAATACGGTTCGGCCAGGACACTTTGCCCGCCATCTTTCTCATTGCTGTTCTCTTTCTGCAGACTGCTAATGCCTTGTTCCTGGCCCCAATTTCTCTGGCCCATCTTGGCTCTCTCGTATAGCTTGAGTACGAAGAATCCCAAGACCAGATGCTAGTCTAGTGCATCTTTCCTCGACGACCCGCAATGGACCGAAGCCATGTCGTCGTTCGTTGTTTGTCCTCCCTCGATCCCGTGCACAGTGGCACAGTACCTACATACTCTCCCTCCACAACCAGAGCCTTCCCAGCCTAATCTAACCTTGCCCGACATCTGATGATGATCAGAGAATGCGGGTTAGGTTAGGTAACTGGACTTGGTTTGGTACGGTTTCACAAACAAGACTCTTTTATTATAGCTGCACCCGACTACTTACCGCTTGCTAAGAGGTTGGTTGACTTCTAAGAAGACTGGGGAGGAAGAAATTGAAAAGACTTTGCCCAGAACCAAGGGGACGCTTAGTACGCAACCAAGTGGAATTCCTTAGAGTGGCACAATTCAAGGTACACAACACATCAGCTTTGACCCATGGATCCTCTCCTCCCCCGGATGGGACTTCACAGTCAGCCATTGAGTGCGACTCATAAGTGCCAGTTTGTGTGTGAGTGTGCTTGCCACCGGATCTAAATCTGGCGACAAGGCATTTTAGCCGTGGCCCCAATATCTTGCATTCAACCAGGCCTGCGGCTACGCGCTCCAATACATGGCGTCGTGCCAGAGACAGCTGCCTCTGTACTCTCGACAGGTCACCCCGGCCCGACCAGTCGAGACGGCAGTGTTATAACATACTAGAACATGTACCGGTAGACGGAGAGATGCTGCCTTTGATTACGTCGGGGGCGGAAGCTACGGCAACACTGCGTTTACCATCATCGTCCACACCACTCAATTATTCTCCCCGCTGCAAAGCCCTCGAATTCCCCCGGTCGCAATTCGGAAGCACGTCTTGAGTGTGGCTCATTATTTTGTTATATCTTGCTTCTCTCCTCCTTCTTTCCTGCCTCGCCCTTCGTATGTACTCTGCCCTCCCAGAAACCATGTCTCCTTACCACGGTCCTATGCCCACTCCATCACCAACCATGGCAGCTGATTTGGATCAATTTACCGATACGAAGTCTCTCCAGGGGGGTGGTTTGACCGGTTTGGAACGGATGATGGAGCTGGAAAGCAAATACCAGGTATGTGGGAACCCGTCTTGACCGCTTTCCTTATGGGTCGTGGCTTTGCGGCTGGATGTCTCATCATGTAAAACCACTGACTGTTATCCGTCCACCACCAACAGATCGACCAATCCCACCACAATGGCTCTCTTTCTCCTCCAACACCCTCTTCTCCCTCTTCCCTTAATCAGCAGGAGCCATCTACACCTATAGCTGCCCGCCGTCTCTCTGCACAGCAAAACTACCTGATGCTCAAAGCTGTCCGGCGGAGCCTTGTCATACCACCACTATCAATCACGATTCCCACAGGGCTGACCGAAGGCAAATACGAATTCACAAGAGAAAGAGACTACCAAAGAGAAAGGAAAGAGGAGAGTCAAGTCCAGCCAGGAGTAATTGCGGAGCCTCTACACAAGCAGGTCAAATTTCTTGCACCCGACGAGGACGAGGAAGAAGAGGAAGAGGCCAACATGTCAGACCAGTCTTCGATCTGTCAGTCTCCTAGTTGGGAACATTACGGCGAAAGAAAGAAACAAAAGAAGGAAGATGCGGAGCGTCGGAAGAAGGAGAAAGAGCATGCAGAAAAGGAGGCAAAAGCAGCCAAGAAACGTCTGGCTGCTCGACTGAGCAAGGCTCCTCCCCCGACGATGCCGCGGTGCCCAACACAAGAAAACCCAAGGATCGCCACACTCACCATTCCAGAGCGATCGATGTCCGATACGCTGCTCACCAACAAGCATCTGTTACCGAGCTCCCACCTCGTCACAACCCAAAATGTCGACACGTCGTTATCAGCGGATGATTTGCAACGGCATACCCGACCGTACCACACTCTTGCATCTTCAGGAATGAGCAAGGCTTCTCTTAACCAGAGTGAGCGCCAAGATCATCTTTTGCTTCAACACACAATTCGCTACGAGAGCTTGGAGCAGCGACCACAGCCGCGCCAGACACAGTCGGATAGCCTAGGTGTGATTAACTCATCACCAGGCCAGGTACCATCTCCTCGGAGAGAGGTATTCCCCCCTTCGTCTTCAAGAACTCCGATGCTACGAGCAACAAGACCTGCTACAAGCCACAACCGAAGCAATAGCTTAATACAAGGGGCATCTCGACTATTCAAGGGGAAAGAGGACGAACCCAGAGACAGCAACGCCGGCCCTCAGTTGCAGGACTCTCCATCAGTATCGGAGGATGATACACGAGGTCGGTCCCGAGACGGGTTTTTCCGGCATAAAAGAGTTCAGAGCGCTAGCCGCGCAATAGCTGGGGTTGCAGACGGTCAACTATCCAGCACTTCCAGCATCGGACCATCATCGAGGAGTAGTTCTCAGACCACCCAAGCGAGACGCTCATCTCTTTCGCAAGATGCCAGAAGTGTGGCCATGAAGCTCGTTGGCATCAGAACAATCTCCGCCACCAAGCCGGATCGCCCCGCCAACAAGAAGCAAACCAAAGACACTGATTACTTTAACTTCATGGAGCACGCATATTCGGCTGCTATCCTCTCGTCAATGGCCACCGGAGGTAAACCTACGCCAGCTCCAGAAGCACCAACTCCTCCGAGATCGCAGGGCTCATTTGGAGAGGCATCTGTCACATTGACCAATGCATCTTCAAGCCTCAAGGGGTCTTCTGTTGCAGGCTCTGACGCAGATAGCCACACAAAGAAGAATCGCAGTCTGAAAGACGCCGCAAGGGCAGCACTGGGTATGTCGACAGGGCATTCAGCAACGCCGGATGTAGTGAGGCCACCTATACAAGCACCTCCTTACCTGAGATTCCGAGCTCGAATGAGCGCTCAGCCTTCAGTCGCTTCAACGCCGAATGCTATCCCGCCAGTCGTTCAACAAATGTCATCTGGTTCTCCTCAAGCCATTGCCCGAGAAAACGAGACCTTGTCCAAACACACCCCTGATACAACACCAGATAATGTAGTCAGGACGACGGAAGTGGCGTTACCACAGGTCAGTGCTTCAGAGGGCTCCTCTTCATCATCCGCATTCGATGAGGCATCACCACTTCCCTCGCCAACAACAACTCCGGATACGTCAAGACCCCAGTCCTCAAAGGACCTGCCATTGGTGGCCGATGATTTCACGAGCAGCCCGACAAGTGTGGAGGAAAGGCAAGATGACGACCGGACTCTCCGTCAATGTTCGGAGGACTCGGCCTCACAGGCTTCTACCACACCTCGGGATGACTCCGAAATACGTGATAGAAACGAGGGGCTCACGGTGGGTGAGGACTGGATCAAGAGTGGACTTTTGATAGACTTGGACTTTGATACATCACCGATCAACACAAATGCCAATGGTGAAGTCAAGGCCAATCATGGTGCTAAGCGATCAAATGCTGGTACAGAGTCGTTTTCATCAACAGATTCCAGTCGACCACCGTCGAGGTGCAAGGACAATAGTCAACGTCAACTTATCATGGAAGAAAGGGATGAGACCCGTCCACAGCTCAGAATGTCCAAATCACTTTCTGATCCAGATATTCGCGTTACCGGTGCATCAATGGTCGCTCACGCCACCATGTCGTCGACTGAGGACACGATAATTGTTCCCCCGAGGTCTCCCGAGCGGACTCGAACTACTGGCCTTTTCGGTGCTGAAATGACGGGTCATGAACAAAAGCTGCACCAGGCATTCTCCTGGGAGAAAGGAGATGAAGAGAGTTATCAAACGGTATCGATGGCGGAAGTGGCAGCTAGAGAGAAGGCTGAAGTTATCTTGGAAACAGAACAACGGTTTGAAATGACTGGGGAGGAACCCAAGAGCAAGAGACGGCAAAAGTTGACATGTTCCCGGATGTCTGGTCAGGCAGGAGACCCACGATCCCAACAACCACGAGCCGTCAGCGGAGAACGGCAGCAGTCAGGATACCGGTATCCCAGCTCGAGTGAACCGTCACCCATGCACGACAGCTTTGCGTCTGCTTCTTCTTCTTCAGCCGCAGGCGGCTCCAGTCGAGCAAAGTTTACCACCCTAGCAGCAGGTTTTGCCTCGTCTCCAGATCTGTCCGGCTCGTCATCGAGGCAGACCGAGGATTGGCCAGAGGTACCCCCCATGTCTCAGATGGTGTCACAGTTCCCGAGTCCACCATCAACATGCCGAAGTCCAACACCGCTCGTCTCACCATTATCACCACCACCATCAAGCACATCCTTTGCCTCAACAGCATCTCGCTCAGCCTCAACTCCCCCAGTCTCCATCCTCAAACAACCTCGCCCAGCCATGCCTGCCATCCCAACCTCGATGCCCATCCTCTCTGCCCTCCCCAAACACATGCTCCACCAATCCAACCACTCCACCCCCAATCTCCCTCCTCCCGCATCCCGCCCCTCCACACTCGCGCTTGCTCACGGCCCAACTGCAGAGGAAAAAGAAGCAGCCGCTCGTCGCGCCGCCGCCGGCGGAGCTTCCTCTCAGCCCTTTGCCAAGATTCTGGTGCAGTGCTGCAGCTGCCAGTTCTTTTTGGATATGCCGTCCAAAGTGTACGAGTGCATAGCTAGGCCGGATGCGGTGGTCGAGGATCGGGCGCTGGGAGTTTCGGGGGCTATTATGACTATGGTGAAGTGTCCGTGGTGTGCACACAAGATGAGTAGGGAGTGTTGTAGGGGGTATACGGCTATGGTTACGTTGGTGGAGAGGTATCATTAAAGGACATTAGGGGAGGGGGTTGTGTGTTTGGGAGGAAGTGGTACAGGAAAAAAAGAACAAAAGGGGAAAAGAGTCGGGGATAGGGACGTTAAGAGTAGGGAAGGTCGAGAGGGCCACTGCTAGTTTCCTTGTTTTTCTTCAGCGAGGTTTATTTCGAGATCAGGTATACCTGTTTTCATTGTGTTTTCCCTTCAAACGGGTTTATGTCGGATAAGGTGAAAGGGGGTGTATTGTAGTGTAGTTAAGCAGTGGAAGATAAGTCCAGGGAAGAAGTCACCGTTGAATGAGTTTTATAAGTTCCATCAGGGCACTCAGCACCGGACCGGAAGTTCCAGGGTCGTGACGACGGGCGAGGCTCTTGTTACTGGTTTAGCTGATACGGCTTGGTACGACTTGATCGTTCAGTTCCTGAGGAGGGGATGATGATTATTCCTCGAGCTCATTCATCAGCTTTAGCCTCTGCAACGATGAGGCTTGAGAGGGGTGTGAGGGGTAATGAAAGCATGCGTAAAAGATCAACCTATACGATCATCGGATCTTCATCGACGAGACATGAACAGTGACGCAGGGCACAGACTGGAGACAATGCAGTGGAGACGGGATGAGCCATGTGAGTCCAGATTTCAGACGAGCCAGAGTCTAGACTTTTATCTTATCAGATGCTCGCTTATCAACGGAAGCCTGAAAGAATCTGATAAGAGGAATGACCTTGACGGCCACTGCTTACATCAGCAGCCAAGAGATGACATCATCCCCACAATTGGCGGGAAACCAGCCATTGAGGTTGTCAGTTAGGCATTCGGCCGGTCGGGAAGGAGCGGGTCACCTCAAAGCTAAGGTGGAGAAACAAGGCGAGAGGGGCGGGGTTTTTCAGCGCTAAGAAAAAGTCGTTTTAGCGCTGCAGGAGAGCACGCAGGGGACCCGGAATATTCTGTGTGCAGCGAGTGTCAATGACGAGGAGCAAACGCCCCCTTCGAGGCAACATTTCCAGACCCCCGATCGATAGTATCTCCGGCTTCGCTCGACCTTTTCCGAGGGCAGGGCATCCAAATTCCCATCCACCTAGTCCTCACTCACTCCCGCCATCTCGAGTGAGTGGCCAACGTCAACCTCCTTCCGTCAACAAACACCACCCATCCCTTCTCTTGATTATCCATCTTCTCCTCATCCACCACCTACAATATCTTGTTGACGTTGGTTGTCACTCATATCCCTACCTCCGGTCCTGTTCCTGCTGGTGCTCGTGCTTTTGCTTATCGCGACAGAAACACGGCATCCGTGCAGTCTCCTTCCTCCTTCATCTGACAGGCAAAGGCCTCTTTGCTGCCAGCGCTTCTCGCGCTTCACTTCAAAACGCCGGTCGCGGGCCCTTGTGAGGCTCTACTCTCGACTGCCAACCATGGCTTCCATTCTAGAAGGCGCACACTCCTCAGCAGGTCACGACTTCGATAGGATAATAGACCATCGCCATGACTCCTCCTCGTCCGCCTCTTCCGCCTCTCCGACCCCGAGTGCCTTTCCCACCGTTGCCCAAGACGACACCGCTCCGAACGAACCCGTCGAGATCACGGCCGCCCAAAAGATGCTCTCCGCCACATCCGGCAGTCTACTCACCGGCCTGCTCGTGACTCCCCTCGACGTCGTGCGAGTCCGATGGCAGTCCCAATCCTTTACCCGGCCGTCACCAACCGCACATACCGTTACCGACTTTGCGAAACTAGCCGGCTCACAAATATCCAACCCCGCGTTCCGCCCCGCGAACCTCGGCGTAACCGCCTGCTGCCGCGAAGTCTTCTTTGCCAACAATTCGGAAGGATGCATCGTCACCGCCGGGCCGCGCATCGGCTCTGGCGCTATCACTGCTAGTGCTATCCCCTGCGCAGTCGAAGAGACAAAGCAACGAAACTTCAACTCCACCCTCGACGGTCTCCGCAAGATCGCCCGCAACGAAGGCTTTACCTCGCTCTGGCGGGGGCTCTCTCCAACCCTGCTTATGGCCATCCCCGCCAACATCATCTACTTTACCGGCTACGAGTGGCTGCGCTTTAACCCTTCCAGCCCGATCCAGCAAACCGTCAAGGAGGAGTATGCAGCTCTGGTAGCCGGTGCGGGCGCTCGTATCCTCGCCGCTACAGCCGTCGGGCCTATCGAGCTATTCCGCACTCGCATGCAGGCTTCCCCCGGCAGCACGACGGGGTCACACCTCACTCATACCTTTAGGGGCATCAAGGACATGGTTTATGCGCACGGCTACCGCTCGCTCTGGAGGGGTTTGACACTCACCCTCTGGCGTGACGTACCCTTTTCTGGCATGTATTGGTGGGGATATGAGACGATTCGAGGAAAGTTGACGGATGCGCGCGAGGCTCGCTCTAGGGGACGTGGTAGGACACTCGACCTCGATTCTGAAGAGCGCCACAGAGTCCGTCGGAGGTCTCAATCAAGGGAAAACCACGCCGAAACCTTTACCGACAGCTTCATCGCCGGCGCGTTATCCGGAGCCTTCGCCAGCGTGGCCACCATGCCTTTCGATGTTGGCAAGACAAGGACACAGGTCTACCGCGACACCGGCGCTGCAACAAAGGCTGCTATTGCGGTGACGATGGAAAAGAGCGCCGTAAGACCGGAGGAGAGGAACATGGCAAGACTGCTGTGGCATATCTTCTCTACGGAAGGCGTCGCCGGCCTCTTCAGGGGATGGATACCCCGTACGCTAAAAGTGGCGCCGGCCTGTGCCATAATGATTAGCAGTTATGAGGTCGGAAAGAGGGCCTTTAGGGGGATGAATGAGCGGGCAGCCATGAAGGAGCGAGAGGAGCTCGCGCAGCAGGGACAGCAACAAGAGCAATCGGATGAGGAGGCTTGAGAGGAGGCTCTTCATTGCTTTGGTTGATATGTGTCCCTGCATTTGAGGACGAGTAGTAACTCTTGGGTTGGGATCGTCTCTCTTCTCTTCTCTTCTCTTGTGTCCTTTCTTTTTTTGTCACTCAAGGGTTTGTTTGTTTGTTCCTACCTACCAATACCTCTTCCCTCCACAACTTTGCATCTTGGAGTTCAATGTTTCTCTCTTCTTTTTTTTGTATGTAACTTTTTAAAGGGTGGCGGCCACGGTCTCAAACTTTTTCGTCGTAGCATGTTTGGCGTTTTAGAGTTCTTTAGACGTGGGACGGAACCGGGGAGCGAGGCAATGCAATGGGACAAAAAGTTAGTTTAATGTCTTCTCTCACCACAACCTTTCTTCAAGTCTCTCCCTCTACTTTTTCTCTTTGATTCTGGAAATGGTGTGTGCTGTACGAATTTTGTGTGTAGCGTAGCGTGTCTGTCAGTATGTGTATGTGGATGTGTGCCTATGTATGTGTTAGCGGTCTTGAGTGTATAGCAGCAACATGTGGGCACTGAAATGAATAGGAGTTGGAGATGGCGAAATATACTTTCCAACATAGAGTGCTACGGCTAACAGCACATGTTCAAAAGTCGGAGCAGATTTTATCTTGTAGCTTTAAATGTACCAACTTGTTGGGAATCTCATCCTACGATATCCAGGTCCTAGAAGTTTCCTTGAGTCACTGTCAACAGCGAAGTAGGGCCTATCCCAACCATCTATGTCTGACTCTCAACAGGATATGTCTTTCTTCTAACTATGGATGGGAAGTCTCTTTGCTATTGCTACCTCCGCTGCTGGTTGCCGAATGAAAAACCAAAAAAAGATTACGTAGGTACGTAGTAAAACTAAACAAAGAGCCGAGAGTGGAATCGATCCGAATCTGACGTATTTTTGACGGACTCGAGACTTGGCTTGAAGCACAAAATGTGTATCAACAGAAAAGGATATACTATCGTTGGCCCTTACCATACTATAGATGATCTTCGGCGTGGACATCACTCTTGTGCGCTTCGATATCCATTCCCATTGAGGGGCATCCCGCCTCGATACCTAGACAGCCTGTTTGTCTCTCTGTCAATCAGTCTGCTTCTGTGGTGTATTGTAATGTTGGTTGGTAGGTAGTCCCACAAGTCTGAGTGTTGATGACCTTTGAAACTGTCCTCCTCGTCAACTGGCGGCGGGCGCTAGGCAGGCAGGCAGGCAGGCAGGCAGGCAGGCAGGCAGGCAGGCGGCTCACGTCAGCAAAGAAGACGGGAGCAGAAGTTGGAATTGTCTGAACCAATAGAGGCGACTTTGTATTACGTTGCTACTTAGCATACCTAATATCAGTTGCCGCCCCGGTCTGGTGGCGCCAATGTTGATACTGTAAGGTAGGAAGGGGCTGCTCAGCTGTTTATGTGTGGCTGATGCAGCTATAGGTTGGGTTGGGTTCACAGGTGTTTTCCATTAGTACTACCTTACCTGCCTTGAAAAGCAAGTTTATCAAGGTTGAAATGGTCGGTACACCAAGATGGAGGAGAGAATGCGGAGCGGAACGGATATAATAGTATCGCTGATGCGGCGGACCTTCTTCAAGGCGACTAGGTACCCTTTGAACCTTTTTTTTTTTCTTATCTTCTCATCTGCGTGCGGCTTCTCACATACTGCGGCAACAAACCTGGTATTCTTCCGCTCGACACACACACACACACAAAACCAACCGTTACCTGACTTGATTACAACTACTGTACTGTATCATCGTCAGATTGCTGCTTGCCAACATGCAGAGCACCGGCGATACCCTTCGGTGTTGGGACCCGGAGACTGGCGGTGAATACAAAATTCTGAGCAACGCCTGGAGCTGCGCAGAAAACTTTGAAACATGTGATTGTCCCCCGCTGAAAGCGGACCCTGACATTGCGGGACAAGGTGTAAGTCGTTCTTCTAATTACCTACCTATGTTTCTAGCAATTGTTTGTGCTGCCGCCGACATGATGGAGACTGATACCTTTCTCTAGGTAACTGCATCTTTGTTTATATCTGCCATTATTACTGCTTTGGTCAGCCTGGCTTGCATCCTATCAGCATCAGTGCATCCACGATCATGGATTGTCAATCGCATCGACGCCCGAGTGCACCCGTGGCTGGGTGAACTCGTCGGCAAGAAACTGGATGGACAGAATGCCATCAAGATAGCAAAGGTCTGTTACGACTTGGCCCTCTGCTTGGGAGATCAGCAACTGGTGACCTCCATCGCCCTTCTTATTGCAGCCATCAAAAAGCTCCACATCGACCGGTCACTCAGCGTCTACCACTTCACCTACGTTATAGACATAGCCTTTCTCAGTTCCGCCGCCTATACGTACACAACCATTACCCATTGGAGTATGAAGGACATGGACGAACCAAAGGATGATGATGATGCTTTTGATACTCAGGACCCCAAGCCACTCCTCACTTGGGAACGACTCCGAAACGGATTACCATGGACGTTGAGATTACTGCTGATGTACACCCTGGATATATCGCTACTCTATAGCAGCTGGGCGGCCGCCCGCGAGGATTGGGACGAAACCCAAGGCTGTCCCGCGTTGTGTGTGATGGAAAACTCCCCCTTTGGCGGGGAAGGAAGGAAGTGGATGGTGGTGAATTATCTTCAGATCCTTTCATCTGACATCTCGGGCATCTTTGACAACATCTCATTCTTCACTGGCAGAATCTGGCCCTGGTGGGTTCTGTACTTGCGTCCAAAACTCATTGATGAAAGGGGCCTCCCAGCCACTCTTCGATCAAGAGAGCAACACACTGAACAAGCTGGTCTTGTGACAAGACTATGGTCATGGTTCCTGATGAAAGTGAAGAAGAGATCTCCCGCAGGCCTTAGAATTTCTTACCGCAACGTGGATCCTCAGATGGACGCTCCTCCGACCGTGCTTGAAGATGGCCGGCCTTCGAGAGTCCCTACTACTATACAAGGGCACTCCATGAACCAATTACGAGTTCCAGAAGGACAGTCATGCTCTGCGACCGTTGTGTTCACTGGGCGGTGGATTCTTAGGCCAGTCAAAGCCGTCCTTTCTCGCCTTTGGCTCCTCAAAAACTCAAAGTCCTGTCAGCTTCTCGAAAACACAGTATGGTTCTGTCTGAACTTTTATTGGGCCGTCGAATGTAGGCGCCTGGGCCAGCGTGAGATGGACGAGGAGGAATATGAGGCCGAACAGGCCATGGGGTTTGGGCAGATCGTCCCTGTGTTTCTTCTGATTCTTTTTGTTTTACAAGTGTTCGACTCTCTCAAAGGTAAGTGCTTGCTATTTTTTTTTTTTTTTTTTTTTTTTTTTTTTTTTTTTTTTTTTTTTTAAAGACCATCTTGTTCCCACCTCTTTTGGTACGCTCATGGTGATATCCTGCTAACGGCTCGTTTTCTTATTCCCTGACCATAGAACACTACAAAGATACATCTACCGAGGATAGAACTGGGGCGGTAATGCCTGGAGAACTTGGAAGCATTTGTGCCGTGGCTTCAGGTACCAGTCTGGACAGCCACATGAGTGTGAACAGCCTGGCCCCGAGTATAGGGTCTCGTGTTAGAGGGACGTGGTAGCCGCGCAGTCTCTTCTATCGACCACCACCGATTTCACTGAAGGCTGTCTTCATCGGCATCCAACTTCTCAATACCCTCATTACCTGCCCAGACACCGCCATCGCAACGAACCGCTTTGTCGACACCGCGCATCGGCCCTGTATGGGTGGGTGGGTGGGGGTTGAGTTTAAGGCTGAAGTAGATCAAGTAGATCATTGCTGGTTTGATTGTCAGCTCGAGAGTTGCGCCTCCTCGGACAAAAGCAAAGACAAGGGATTCCGAAACCCCCATTGGCTCAAACCACCCGAAAGCCAGGGTCATGAACGACAATCGAATGTGTCCTGCGCACATGCACCAGGGCTTCATTCTACACATGTGGAACAGGCAATAGCCATCAGGATGCTATTCCTGGCCAACAGCCCCGCCTGGGCATCTTGAAAGTGGTTGAAGATCCCTCTGCAAGTAAGTACAGGGTAGCAATCAAACCAAAGGTAACTTGAATTGTAGGGGCAGTGTGGCATGATCAGCCTTTCGCCATGTTTCTCGACGTGGGATTCGTAGGTTTGCGTGCTTCCTTCCGTACCCACGTGCATTTAAAGGGTGTTTATCAGGTAATCGCTTTCCGTACCGTATTTACAAACTATCCCCTATCTTTTCAACATTCAGGAACCGCGAGATTTTAACGATCCTACTTGCATGCCTACCTCTACGAATTCATTATGGAGTCCGAATTCATTCGTTGCTGGCAGGAGGCAGATGACGGAAATCACACGCGTGTTTACTACAATATCACAAACGACCAGTGGAACTGTGCAATGCACTATGGTCATTGTGACTCTTGTCCCAAACTTCAAGGAGATCCTGACATAGCGGGGATCGGTGTAAGTCCCTTCCGTCCGTCGATGGACAGCAAGAAAATCGGGAGCATGAAAGCTATGCTCAGTCAGTCACTTACAAAATACATGATCAATCGATAGCTGACAGTATGATAATCGACCAGGTATTTGTTGCGTTCATGGTCTCCGTTAGCCTTACCGCTCTACTGGGCATTATCTTTCCCATCTTATCAGCAGCACTGCGACCGAGGGCTACTGTCATTCACGATTGTCTAGACATCCTTCTAGAAAAAGTCGTGAGGAAAACCATCCTGAAAAGACTTGGGATCAAGAAAGCCGAACGCTGGGCGTTGGTATGCTACAATTCGGTATTCAGCCTGGGCGATCAACAACTCACAACAGCCTTAGCCCTGTTGGTAGCAACACTCAAGAAACTCTACAGCGACCAAAGTTTCAGCGTTTACCACTTGAAGTTGGTAATGAACTTGGCATGTCTGAGTAACTGCGTCTACGCCTACGCCATCATCTCCTTGCGGATAAAGATGGATTTGCAGCAGCCCACCGATCGCGCGGAAGGATCCCCGGCGGTGGCACCGCGGCGGGTGAAAAACAAACCACCCATGGTGAATTGGTCCATGCGGCTGCGGAGCGTCCTCATGTTCACGGTGACGGCGTTGCTCCTCTACACCGGCTGGATCGCGGCCAGAGTCGATGGCATGGAACCCAATTGTCCAGCGTTGTGCTTCAAGAATGTCCCAGCAAAGGGCCAGGCAGTAAAGGTATGGGCTACACAGTATTGGATCCCGATTTATTATACACTTACCATTTCTTTTACGCAATGTCTTGCGATGTCACGAAGGAGATGTCCTCTCCCGAAAGTTAAGAGCAAGTCGAACCTCCTGGAAATATTCGGTGTTTGTGGGAATCTGTTGCTGGCGCATGCATTCTTCATTTACTACTTGTACCGCGTCGCAAAGAGTTGGCGAGAGCGGAATCAGGCCTGGTATGTTGAGGCGGATATCCAAAATGAGGAGAGTTGGGGATTTGGACAAGTTGTCCCAATACTTCTCCTCATTCAGCCTGTTCTTCAGCTCTTTGATTCCGTTTCAGGTACGTACCGTACGCATGTCTCCAGCTTCCATCGGCCAGGGTTTCTAATTTGCACTACCGTCGGTTCTGAACTTCTTATCTTAATCTGAGAGACTAACCTCACTCCTTGTGGCAGAGACTAAAGTCGAGACCGATGTGCAAGATCAAGTCGAGCGAGGGACTCAGACGGAGAGCAGAACCGAGCCCGAGGTTGAGAACGGGCCAGAAGGGCGAGCAGTCACAGCTTCAAACATGGCTTAGAAAGCATAAAGGTATAGTTGACAGGAAGAACAAAGTTCAGTACAGTCCAGGCTACGAACCTCTCGGTATTTGTATGTGTCTTGTATCAAATTCTTATTTCGCGATCAATAAGTACAACGCGGCAATATCTTCCATCCTTTTCTCCATGCCAGCAGCACGAAAGGCCAAGGATATCAAAGACAGGTGTGATCAACTGACCCGTAAAGCAGCTGTTGCGACACTTGCCCGATTCCTAATCGCCTTAGGAAGGGACAAAGGAGATTGAAAGTTAAAAGATAAGCAAGGGAAGGGAGTGAAAGGTGAGGATACATAATCTGGGTTGCCTGTCCCGAATCGTCAGTCGTCAGGCGGGCGACCTAAGAGAAGGCTACGTACCTACCTCTACCTACCTACCATTTGTAGCCTTGGACGGGCTACGCTGCTCCAAATGAACTGATCTGAGTTATGCCTCTTCTTCGCCCCATCATCACCATCACCTCTACACGAACCGAACACGATCACCATACTATCTGGTATACAAGTGTTCAATATGCTGGCCAACGTCACACGGGCGGTGAATGGACTGCCTGCGACGACGACGATGACGACGACTTACTTGGATTTCGCCCTTCATGCCCGTACTATCTCCCCTTTCTCCTACACAGTAGGCTCCTTTTGGGGCTGGGGCTGAGTATCAATATGGCGCGAAGACTGAGTGGTGATTGGCGTCACTGAATGGTTACCTAGGTTCCCTCAGCTGTGCCTTGTCGTTCGTACAGGCTGAGGTAGGTAGGTCGGTGGGTTTGAAGCTGGGTAATACCTCTAGTTATCACTGGGCTAAGCGTCTTTCCATTTTGAAACCCCTTCAATAACCGGTTCGTTATATTCGTCCCTTTTTCACTTCTCCTCCTCCTTCAAGAAACGCAACATTTCGATAGCAGAAACTGCCTTTCCATCATGGACGCGGACTTCATCCGCTGCTGGCGGGTTACGGAGGACGTTAACAACATAAACCCACGTGTTTACTACAATATCACGAAAGATCAGTGGAACTGTGTAGAGCACTCTGGGACATGTGATTCATGCTCTAGACTCCAGGCTGACTCTGACATTGCTGGCCTTGGTGTAAGTTTCTCCCAAACTTTTTATTCTGTTTTACCAGGCTCCTATGCAAGCAATGAGAACACGAATAACAACGCTGGACAGGGTATTCTCTGCTAGCGAGCTTATTGCTCAGGACATAACTTAGTGGGATGAAAACACCACAAGATGCCCCAGGACGTGCATCGTCACCCGAATCTGCGGTTGGCAGTGAAATGAAGAATGGAGACGCGGGCGTCTTTACACGGCAACTCGAGCGAATAACTAACGGCGGGAATGATTGAAATATCCCACAGGTAATCGCTGCTTTCCTAGTCTCCGCTAGCCTTACAGCATTGCTGGGCATTATCTTCAATCGCCTTACTAACACCTGTCAACCACTCTGGAAGAAGGGAGACCAACGACTATCGAATTCTAGACAATGTACTGGCTTCGTTTCTCAACGGGCCCATTGTGAGACTCCTCGGCGAGAAGCACACGGTAAAAGATCTCAAAAGTTATCTACGATATGGTGATGTGTCTAGGTGATCAGCAACCTGTCGTCGCGCTTGCCCTTCTCGTCGCGACCCTGAAGTTACCTACTCTATGTCGATAAGAGCCTCAGCGTCCTTCACTTGCAGTTGCTCGTGAACCTGGTATTCGTCAGCACCACCGCCTTCAGCTACACAATCATCTCCTGGCGTGTTATGCGGGAAAGGGGGGTTCTACGGCAATAATACACCCCCCGGAGAACCACAATACACCCTCGGACACTAACCAAGATAGTAGCCCCCAATCATTCTGGTCGCGTCTACGAGAACAATTACCGATAGCGACAAGGGCTTTTGTCGTATTCACCCTTTGCACCTTACTTGTATACACCGGCTGGATCACATCAAAAACGTATGGCCTTGACATGAACTGCCCGGCGTTGTGTTACCAGGGTGTCGCGATAGTCCAGATAACTCCTGAATACACGTACCGGTTGGGAGACAATTGGCTCTGGCTCATCAAGGTAGGTATGGATGTATATTTCCGGATCCCTGCTTGTCAGTTGGCTTTCGGTGTCCTCCATCTGTCCTTCTTACGGCGGCGTACTTCCTACGATCTTCCGTTTCCATGCCGAAGCCCAAAGCAAGGGCTCGGCATGTATGTACCGTCTGGATCTGGAGACAGATTTATGCCGCCTACCTACCTGTCTCTTGCGGCAATATCGTTTTGTTTTGTCGTCTTCCTTGTCCACACGTTGAATATCTGGGGAGGGAGAACCCGTTCAAGCTTTGCGGAGGACATCAAGGATGAGATGAGCATGGGGTTCGGGCAGATCATGCCCCTCTTTCTTCTTATACAGCCTCTTCTCCAACTCCTTGATTCCATCAAAGGTGCGTATTTACTTAGTTCTCGTCCTTCCC